TTCACTGCAAGCAAAAGCGCCGCCATAGACTTTTCGCCAAAAATGAACCGCCCCCCGCTATCCTTGATTCTCGGATCTGGTCCCATCCCCCAGCACACATCAATACGGATCTTGGGCATCTTTTTCACTCAGACTCTCACTTGGAGAGCTCACGAAACTTATTTGCGCACGAAACTGACTCGTGCCGGCAATTTCCTTAAGTATTTCGCTACTCGCCGGAATGGTGCTAGAACAGACAACCTACTTCGGATGATGTATACCGTGATGTGCCCAATGGCGACCTTCGGTGCTAACCTGCTGGAAGGCGCGCCACCCACTACAATTCAACGTATTGAAAAACCACTCCACACTGCCCTCCGTATTGCATTGGGCGTCCCAAAAACCACCCCTATCATCTCACTATACACTGAAACGTCTTATATACCACTGCATATCAGGCTCCGCCAAAAAGCGTTGGCAAGCGCCATCACCCACATCTCCAGGGGCTCGCATAGCCCAATGCACTCGCTTTTCCAAATGGCACATGGCTTCGATCACTATCGCTGGCGCCAGTATCAGAAACCGTACATACACAGAATGATATCCCTTATAAGTCAGGAGGGGCTCCCGATATCCCACCTATATCGGCAGAAACATACCCCGCCAAACGTGGCCCAGGTTTATCCTCACTTACGCCTAGAAGAGCTTACTCGATCTCCTTCGGAACCCCCGGAAATCGCATGCGCACGATTCCGAGAGATGCAAATGTCAATCTGGCAGGGAAGGATCCTCATAGGGGCAGATGCCTCCAAGTCAAGGATCCGCACGTCGATAGGGATTGTCCTCCCGGACCACAACATCAGGGAGACCTGGCTGTTACATAACTATTGCAGTGTATACGGGGCAGAAGCCCTGGGTATAAAACGGGCGTTACATCTAAGCTCAAGCCTAGACGGTCCGTCAGTCATATGCTCTGACAGTAAGTCCGCCATACAGGAGATAGGCAATATCTCCTTCTCGTCCCCGGCACTTCTTATTGACATCGCGGAAAATATTACTCAACATCCCAAACCCATAGAAATCGGGTGGACCCCTGGCCACGTGGGAATTGATATCAACGAGGCGGCGGACAGAGCCGCAAGAACAGATACCCCTTCTGGCTCTTGGCGTGGGTCACTTATGGCCCGTGACTTAATCCGGGAGTATAGAGAACAACAAAAAATAGAGATCACAGATTCATGGTCAGAACACTTGCGTAATAAAGGTCGAGACCACCTCAGACCCTTCGCCCCCTGGCCTTACAGGCATGCTACTTCTCGGAATGCGGAGACCCTTTTGGCCCGCCTAAGAACTGACACTGCCCCTCTTAACAGGTTCCTCTGTTCTAGAAACCTACGTGCTTCACCAGACTGTCCACATTGTGGTGCTCAGGAGACATCCAGACATTTTTGGCTGACGTGTCCAAGATATACGGAAGCCCGACAAGAACTTGGCCGTACTCTGAAGATCGATCTCGCAATCATCCAGACTTTAACACCCATATATTGGGCAAGAACAGACCTCTCACCTAGACAGCACGTGCAGGCCCTCGAACGTTACGTAGCACGCACACATCGATTTGACTAATTGCGGACAAGAGTTCATCGGAGAAAAGTTGACCAGCCAGAATCTCCATATTAGAGAAGAAAGAAATAGAAGATAAACATCGTATTAAAGCAGGCAAAGCACTTGACTCAATAACCACTTTAGTATGGTGTAGCTCACATGAAGATAAATAAACTAAAATTTCAGCTGTTGTGAGAGTTAAGTCGAGTTTATTTGTATGATTCAGATATTGTACACATTTAATAGCGATTCTAGTTTTAATTATGCAATTAAGAATTAACTTTTGATTCATCTGAAGGCCTACTCAAATTTCTAGAAATATTTTCAGTTACCACTCATCGTGGGCAGTGTTTAGGATAAGTGCGATGTTTTTCTTTTATCGCTTCTAATCTCTTGATAATTTCAGAAGGATGTTAATCAAAAGTAAAGCCGCTTCTCTCCGTAAACGAAGTTTCCTTTTTCTCTTTTCAAGAATCAATTATGGTTTGAAGTCTTTCCAGGCGAGAATCTAGAATCTTACTCCTGATGGATTTCCATCTATTTCTTTCTGATCGCTTATCTCTAATTTAACATTAATTTGTAAAAATGAAAAGTCCAATCAATATTATTGATTATGTATATATAATATATATATATATATAATCTATATATATAAAATTGCTTGTCCTGACTGACTGACTCACTGATTCATCATCGCCCAGAGCAAACCGTTGGACCTAAAGAACAGAAATTTGGTACACAGTTAGGGTTCGTCATGAAAACGCACACTAAGAAGGGATTTTTCGAAATTCCCAAATGGGGGAGAGGAAGAGCATTAAATCTTAACCGGAAGAACGGCTTCTACTGTACTATTTTAGATGCAATTTTTTGTTTTTATCTGCGTTTTAGTAGGGTAAGTCATGGCAATGCACACTAAGAAGGGATTTTTCTAAATTTCCCCGCGGGGGGAGAGGGAGAGCATTAAGGCTTAACCGTCAGAACGGCTTCTACTGTACTATTTTAGATGCGATCTTTTGTTTTCAACTACATTTAGTCTTCATTGAGTACTTAGGTGTATTAAATTGATAACATTTCAGACATTGTTATAAATATTTTTATCTATTTCAATTTTAAAAATGTTCGAACCGTTTTAAATTCGAATTTGTTATTGCATATTGGTTCGATTATAGAACGATTGTAAACGCTCCAGAAAATTGATCAAATTGAAAATACAGTAGTTCGTTTGATTCTCGGAAATTCTCTTCAGCTGTAGGTGTTATGGGGGAGATCGGGGCAAGATCGGCATGTTAAGCTTTACTTAAATTTTGTGTAATAAATACTGTGTAAACTGAAAAAAACCTTTTGCATGTTGTTTATTGGAATGTTACCTTACTATAGAACTGGTTAAAATCAGTTTGGAAATAAAAATAATTAAAATAATTACAACTTTAAGAGAAGAGAGAAATTGACGAAGTTGCCCCGGATATAGGGGCAAGATCGGCAACTTCTCTCTTTTTGTAAAGTTGTAATTATTTTAATTATTTTTATTAAAGTTGCCCCTGGTATAGGGGCAACAGTAATGGGGCAAGATAGGCACGTATATAAAATTATGTTATTAACAATGTATAAGTTGGAATTCACTATTAAAACAAAGAAATACAAATCCAACACCCATTTAATATTATTACAACGAAATGCAAGTTCAAAGACATATATACATGAATAACAAATGCAAACATGTTTTCATTTATCATCTGTTTGATTTTTATCCTTTGCTTCTAATGTGGCTTTATGTTGCCGATCTTACCCCGCTAGTCATGATTTCGAAACATTAAGTACAACCCTGAGAACAGAATGCCAAGCCACGATCTGGCCACGTGAATAAGTTGAAGTTACATCCTTCTAACAGGAAAAGTAACTTTCGTTATCATGGAATTATAACAAAACCTGCCAATTCAATATAAATGGAAAAAAAATATTATATGGAATTGAACGAAAATGAAAATTTGCTTGATAATTCAACTACGCTTGTTGGAGAACAATAAAAACACTACACTCAACAAGCCACCAATAAAACTCAACTGCCTAACCTATAACCAAAGTCTCCTTTTAATTTGTTTTTTAAAAAAAGCGCTTGACAAACTTGCCCCGCATGCCGAAGTTGCCCCGATCTCCCCTATAGACCTAACAATTACTATGGTTATTGAAATATTGAATGTAAATGGGGTTTGCTTGCAAAACCTCCGTGGACGAAGTCGCGGGTAACAGCTAGTTAAACAATATAACAGTTACTAAATTATTGTTTAATAATTATTTAATTATTTTTCGGATACTGTATTTTACATTGTGCTCTGTCTAATAAATACGATAAGATGGCTTGAATTTAAAATTTTTGTGGTCCTAAATTCTAACATTTAACAGACACTTTACATCTACGATACAGGTAAAAATATGAGGTCCTAAGCTACAGATAGCCTCATAAAGCGAAGCTCAGGCTCTAGTTTATTTAGCTTACGTGCAGATTCGTCCTTGCTTAGCACTAATTTTCAAAGCAATCGAAGCAGTTTTATCTTAGTTCGCTTATAAAAACTATGGAAATAAAATATAATTTATTATAAAGACACAAAAGAATAAATATATGTTTTATAGCATATTTTCTACGTTCTACTTGAAGAATTATCATTCATACCTTGCCATTCCTTGATTTATCGTTGTAAAGATTTTATTATAGATTATATAAATCTCTACCCTTTCATATATTGTAAATTTGAGGAACAGATAACAATATAAATGCTTATTTTAGTAAAGTGTAGTATTTTTTTCGAAAGTTACAAGAGGTACTCTTTCATATAGAGATATGCATTTCGAGCATTTTTTGTCTCTAATTTCTTAAAAAGTTCCTATTAAACATCATATTCAATATAGTATTTTATAACATTCAAATTCTTTACGTCCATTATGATTTACAGGAAAAGAGAAATAATATAGACCTACGGTAAATCATAATGTTTTGAAAGAAGATACTGTATCTTTTGAAAGAAAATATTTAGTATAATTTTTCATTCTTAACATTATTATTATTTTGTTGTTGATATGATGAAATAAAACAAATTTAATATAAAAATCAAAAGTGGTATTTCTTTTATAAGAGAAATCTTAAATTCTTTCTTTTCTGATATTCACAGTACATAATTGCAATAATTTATATTCCAATTTCTTACTTTTATTTATTCAAACTTTTGGTTTGATACATCCAGTAAAAAGTACACTGTCGTAAATAAATTGGACCCATACCTTATCACCCACCTCCCCAATATAGACTTGGCCGAATCTATGATGAGTATGGAAAAAAAGTCTAAAAAACAGAAGAAAATCCTATAAGTGATAATGCAATAAAATGTTATCACAACTTATAAATTTTATCATCTATTTATTAGGTGTGCGGGCATTTATGGAAATATGTTTCAACGGAATATTTTTCATTAGGCGTATGTTTTATATTAAATCAAGACATGAACGTGGTGAAGACCATTCATCCATATGAAATTATAGGTAGATCATATTTTACAGTATTTATTTCATTGTTATGAATTTCGATATTTTAAATTCAAATTAACCATTATTTTTCAGTAAATAGACTCCCTGAACAAATTTATACTGCAGAAATTGGAATGTCAGCCTCTTTTATCCAGGTATATTTTAATGTCAGATAACCTTTGTACTCAATTGATTTAACAGATTTTACGAACTCCTATCTTAGGACAAGGATGAGTTATTAATTGGATCACCTGGTTATAATATTTTTACAGGTAATACTTTCATTTATAGTCGTATGAATATCATTTATTAAGACTTAATATATTTTTTTTTATTAATTTAGGTGCTGGGCTAAAATATAAATTTGTAAATTATTATGAATATAGACGGGATATAGTTATTCGTTCTATTGATATATTATCATTAAAAACTTATAAGTATGATTTTGAATATTTTGGTAAGTAGTATTTGTGTGAAGAAAATATTAAATTTGTAAAATTACTAAATATAATTTTAACTTTAGATTTTTAATATATTAAAAACAATTAATTATATTTAGGATATTCTGTATCGTCCGGAAAATTCTATAGTAACAACAAAACAGCATATGTAACTGGAGGACCAAGAGCTAGACAGTATAAAGGACAAGTAATGAATTATGATGAACTTCGTAAAATAATATTTAAAAATATACAAGAACAGAATATAAGTTTTAGATTTTAAGTTAATAACAAAAACTTATTAGAATTGATGTAACTAAATGATAAAAACGCGATAAATTTATGTTTAGCATATAACTCGTAATTTAAGCAATTATATTTTTTAAATGTATAATTCATTCTTCAGTTTAGTTAATGAATTATATTATTTTATATTATTGCATTTATTTCAATATAAAGGAATTCATATAAATCAATTTCAGGTTATTATTTTTGATGAAAATTATATGATTAGTGGGGAATTAGAAGGATCTCAAGTAAGTTGTTATTGTTATTATAATTGCCAAAAATAATGATGATTGATTAATGACGATTGTATAGACAGGGGAGTATTATGGGGCAGCCATTTTAAGTGTGGATGTGAATAACGACGGTTTGACTGATTTATTTGTTGGTGCTCCTTTGTATTCTACTGAATCTGGTGGGGACGAAGGAAGGGTCTATATTTATCTTAGTGGGGGTAAAGTAAGTTAAATATTTTTATATCGCATTTATGATTGCTCATAAATGATTCTTCTATGTATAATTGAATAATTTAAGATAACTATACTGTATTTGTATATTGATCATTATTACGATTAATCTTTTAATCAATAATTTTCTAAGTATCTAAAATACCAATCAAGTTTATATGGATCTTCTGTTAAAAGAAGCAGATTTGGCACCAGTTTAGCTCATATTGGAGATATTAATCATGATAAATTTTCAGGTAAGGCTGTTAAATTATTTTTCAATTGTAAAAGTTCCACAGTAATTTTGATACTTTGATACTTTAGTACTTTGATATTTCACGTTTAATTCTGTAAATAAATAAATAAATAATATATATATATAAGAAATGCATTACTCATATTTATAAAATGTAATAGGCTAGAAATATATTGTCAAAAATCTATTTATCACAATTAATGTAAAGCATATAAGTAATTTATAACATTTGTATTAAAAGGAAACGGAAATTTGTATTAAACGAAGTACTAATATTAATTGTACTTCGAAAATAGGAAAATGGCACTTAAAATTAATTATTCTGACGCTACTTTATACTGTTTTTAAATGTCTAACAAGTAAGATAAAACTTCAACGTCCTGTAGCAAGTAAAATATTTTTGTTTTTTCCGATTATGTTTCCCTTTTCTTTAAGAAATGTGCTTCTACTCAAATATTTTATGTTGGCGAGTGAATGAATAAGTGAAAAAAATGTAGTTTTAGAGTGTTATTTCATTATTTCTAATACTTCTAACAGAAAAGATTACTTTAATATCAATAATAAAGTCCTGGTTATCCAAAGTAATGCCAACGGGGAATATCTCGGAAAATTAAAACCTCGGTTAACTCGGAAGATGTAAAGTAATACAGAATGATGAATAAAATACAAGAATGTTATTATAAAATCAATTTTATGATAATTATAATTAAAATTTTTGAGTCTTTTTTAAATTTTCATATCACATATGAATCATCCCTGGAATTAATTCTTACTAAAATTCTAGATCCCCTTTTGAGTATTGTCCATCGCTCGATCAAGATTAGTGAAATGAAATATACTTTCGTATCTTTTCTTATCTTTGTTACAAAATATTATTCTATAGTTTATCTCAGTAAATCGAGTCTCGATTAATCGAAACCCTACAGTACTATTATTTTGAACTAACACGACTCGTATATGTGCCTTTACACGACACGCATTAACTTTTAATAAAATCACGAAATTTAAAAAAATTATTCCGTTATCTTATAAAAATAAAAACAAAAATACAACACAAAAATGATCAAAAATTGCAGTAGACACAATCGATGATAATAAGTTTTACAGATATTGCCGTTGGGGCACCATACGAATTAGAAAGAGGAGCAGTTTATATTTACCACGGTTCTTCCAATGGACTTAAAACTAAATTTGTTCAGGTAAAATATTTATGAAACGTTTATCTTCTTAAATATGAAATATAAATACTTATGCTAATTACTATATATTATTTAGAGAATTTTTGCGGCCGACGTTGATCGACATTTAATGGGTTTCGGTATATCTATATCGAAACCGTATGACGTAGATTTTAGTAATTATCCAGGTAATGCGAATTTTAACTTACAAATATTTCCTCGCAAATTAAATTTTGATCGAGATTCTTTTCGTTCTCTAGACATTGTTGTTGGTTCATATTTATCGGACAATGCTGTTCTTTTAAGGTAATTTTAAAAAAATTGATTAAATATTAAATGTCTTGCACGATTCACAGAAACATGAATAATGACTAATAATAATTAAATATATAGAACTCGTCCCATTGTTCGGATATTTCCTCACATAGAATTTCAACCCCGCCAAATATATCCTAATAATTCAACCTGTAACCTCACCACGGGACTTTGTTTCAAAGCCATATTGTGTTTGAGATACGAAGGCTCTTTTGTGCCTGCCACACTCGGTAAGTATAAATTATATAATTTAACGATATTTACCGAAATACTGTTTGATATTAATCTGAAATTAATTATTTTTCTAGATTTTACTGTGGAACTACGCGCATTTCGAATAAAAAATGTACTCCAGCCCAAAGAATACTTTACAGATCAGAATTTACCGGTTTCGATGAAACATGATAAAATTACAGCTAGATACAACGAAAATGAATGTCATATATACGAAGTTTATATCCGCGTATGTAATACATTTTATAAACAAATAATTTTAAACCATTTTTTCTTAAGCATATTCAGTCCTATTAGATAGTAGAAATAGAGACTATCTGGTCTCCATTGATCTACGAGGAATTAATCAATTTATCTATAAGGTTGATAGATTGCTAGAGAATATAAACAAATTTATATTTTATATGTAAAAATATGACAAAAATAACATAAAATGATAATTGATATATTTTTAAATTTGAATGAAGTAGAGTATACAGTTTTATTTTTTGATTCATGTTTAATTAAAACAAATAAAATTAATTCCTATTTGTAATTTCTTGTTATTTTGTGTGAATATAGAAAAAGATCGAAGAATTAAATGTAATTCTGTAAATGAGTTGACACGCAGTGATAAGGACCCTTATATTAGACAATTTTTTAAAACTCTACCCTGCAAGCACTAACTTTTACAACCGGGTTTTTTTATTGTAGATTTGGCCAGGTACAAAATGGGGCTGTTGGGTGGTGAGGAATAAAGTCTTACATATCTGGTGCAAACCACACCTCAAAAAGTTCTTGGGGTTTTTCAATCGCTCGGATTCGATCACGGGTTCCTCAGAGTAGCTTACTGTGAAGATGTGAAGAATGAAACTATAATTTCTCATTTGTATTCTCTGAAAATCCGTTTATAAAATGGTCAAACCTTGTTCATATATTCAAATTTTCGAATGTTTTCTGTTAAAAATCTTTTAGAAAGTTAATAAATAATACAGTAATTATTTTTCTAAAATAGTACAATTTTTAATTTAGCAAATTCTCTATTTAAGGTGTTAATTGATAGATTAACGTAAGAAGATATTAGCCAGGTTGAGGCCCAAGATTTAAACGTCAAAACGTGTACCTCGGACGTTCAGCGCCGCTTTCCTGTAAGCCTAGAAGTTTGACAGTGGTGTTTGGATAATCAATGGAATCATGCTCGACATTCCAAACATCATTGTCAAACTTTTAGGCTTACAGGAAAGCGACGCTGAACATCCGACGTACACGTTTTCGCGTTTAAAACGTCGGCCTAAACCTCGCTATTATACCTTTTAACATACAAGTTAATTTCATATAAGTTGACTTTATATGTTTAATATTTCATTATGCAATTATTCATAATCATATAATGGATTATATAACAATTTTTAATGTTAATTTTACAGGACGATTCCAACGATCGAATAACACCGATCCAAATAAATGTTGATGCATATTTAACGCACAACACATCGAAAGAAACACAATTTTGTAAAGATTGCCCCATTTTAGATCCGACAGTTCCTCATTCTAAGAGCGAAGTGGTAAGTCTGAATTCTTTGAAAACTTTTTCTTCTAATTCTTAGTTAATTAGGATAATTCATGATTATTTACAGATAACATTTCTTACTGGCTGCGCTCGTGAAGATAAATGCTTTTCCGATCTCACACTGGAGGCTCATATATTTGGTCTGAGGTAAATAAATCCGTTTTTAAAAGATAATTTTGAAAATATTTTTATCGAAAACTTATTTTTAATTCTATTCTTACAAAAGATAAAGTAAAATAAATGGTCAGTTTTTATCAAAATTGGACAGTGTTTAAAAATAATTTTATATTATAAAATTGATATAGAAGGCAGTTATATACATTAGTTCAAAATTGAAAAAAAAGCTTAAAGATCTAAAATATGATTTCTTAATCATATTTTAGATCTTTCCGCCATTTTGTCTACATAAAAAACATCTCTCGACCCTAAGTCGATAAGTGAGTCACACAGAAATTTTAAAAATCATACTGATTTTTAATGTGATTTAATTTTCAAATTTCTGAAATTTACGAATAAATTAAAAACTTTCTTGAAAACAGGATACATTTAACCCGATCTATCTAGAAGACAGATACATTTCTTTCACCATACTAATCAGTTGATAATAATTAACACTTTCTCTTTGATGCTTTGTTATACACCTTATGGTTTCCCTACTTTTATATACAAGTAAAATAGAAAATTGAATTTCTCAGACAGTTAATAATAATGATTCCTAAATTACTATTATTGTTTCTCATTCAGTAATGGAGAATTGATCCTCGGTAAAGACAAACAGATCACCATTATTGCCGAAATTCAAAATTCCAACGAACCGGCTTTCATGACCGAAATGTGGATTTATTTACCCGAAAATATGGAACTGATCAACGGAGAAAACTGTAAACAATTACAAGAAATGTCTAAAGGATTAACTTTAATCTGTCTGATTGGAAATCCTTTGGATAAGAAATCGGCAAGTCATTAAACTTTATCTTAAATTATTCATTTCTGTAAAAAGTTGTAAAAATATGGCATAGATCTTCCGAATTTAATCTAATTTCAACTTCTAATAAAAAAAAAATACGTAAATGATTTTTACGATGCATAATTATGAAGCATTTGTACTTCTTTCGTGATTCTCGTACTGGTATAATCATTGTTTATGTTTTCGTGATTATTTTTCAGGCAAGACACGAAATTAAACTGGATTCGTCTAAACTATTATCTTCCTTGGATAATATATCTATTGTTATGAATTTAACGACGCTGAGCGAAGAAAGAAATGTAGCCGATAATCTGGTTAATATCACGATACCTATGAAATTATCTGCAGACGTCAGTATAACCGGGTAAGAAAAGTTTGTTTATTATTCTTTTAATTATTGAAGAATGTGGCTATTTATACGTACACTACATTTTAGGTCTTGAATGGCATGCGTAGGTAATTTTATTTTGTTATGGAATTTAAAAATTGAGGATTTTATACTATTATAATAAACGTGGAGTGAATATAACGTCTTTTTACTGTTAAAATAGCTGAAAAATCGCTAGAATTAAGCTAAAAGAAGACATTTTAAAGATTTGAATGATTCATCATTTGATTAATCAAATCATTCAATCAATTCTGAATATCATTCCAATGATGTCATTCACTGTATGAATCAAATGTAAATGTAAATCGTAAATATTGTATATACGAAAATTCATTATTTATACATAAATAAATAGATGAATTATTTAATTTTTGAATTTTAATACTCTTGTCAACTTAAACGTCTTTCTAGGGTCGAAAGAGATCCTTCTGGCATTGCACGAATGTATGCATGTGATGCATGTTTGTTCCAGCGTTAAAATAACTGACACTTAAATATCTATATAGAGACAAAAGATTAATTCGCTTGAAAAATACCACTAGTAGAGCATATTCTACGAATAGACGACAACCTGACTAGTGAATGATATATGAACATCCTAACACAACGGTGGACGAATAGCAATTGCTTGATAATTTGCCATTGGCACAACTAGAAGTCAGTGGCGGCCTTAGGGGGTGGCGAGCAGGGCAATCGCCCGGGGCCTCGCTCTTGGAGGGGCCTCGCGCAACAACCAAGTAGAAAAAAGTTGATATTTAAAACTTTTTTTATCCTTGGCTATTAGTTATAACAATAAAATAAATTTAATTTATAATACAGTATATATTAATATTAATAAGTGCCTACTATTTCAATTCACATACTTTGCACAAAGGACAAGGGCCTCGCAAAGATCTGCCGCCCAGGGCCTCGCAAAGATCTGCCGCCCAGAGCCTCGCAATGGATAAGGCCGCCGCTGCTAGAAGTGGTTAGATACCATAATAAAGTAGTGTGAAATCCGCGATTTTTACGCCGATGTCGGAAAAATCTTTGTAAACAACTCCGAGAAAAAAAAAACACTCTTGGTGAGAAGTATATTGGAGGTCACCGATTGTTTTCACATTAAAGTGGGAAAGTTGACACTCTGCAATTTCACGAATGTCGAAACAGCAAATGACGACTCGGAAAGCGATGGTCTGAATTTCACAATTTCAAATATCAAGTCGAAAAGAAATAGTAATAACCTGATTTCAGTGGACAGAAGCAAGAATCTGATACTTGTGAGTTCTATTTTTAAGGATTTGTTAAATTTACAACGTCAGCTTTAATTCTGCCATGATTTATTATACTCTCTAGAATTGTAAAACGTCAGTATTCAACGAACGCATATTAGACATATCCGCATAAAGGTATTTCGCCGACACACTCCCCACTCAATTTTTTTTTTTTTTTTTTTTTTTGCTCTCCTAGCCATCCGACAAGCCGAGAATGGGTTTTACCAACCTGTTGCAGAGTAAGTGGTCATTTGGGAAGAGCCCAGTGGCACACTGCTAATCTCACAGTGTTGTTAGCATCTCATTCCCGGACAGACGCACAGTACGTCATGGCTCACGGATTGGTTTTGCAAGTGCTGGATAACACACCAAATTCACTAGACTTGATTTTTCTAGATTTTTTCTATGGGGTCACTTAAAAATATCGGTGTACGCTTTGATTCATAATAAACAGCGCCGTTTGATGGAGAACTGCAGAAAAGCATATAAGAGGCCTATGAAATGATGATACAAAGTATGTTACGTGTCATCCATAATGTCACGCTCGATACTCTACGCTTTCGTATTGCCACTGGAGGCGATCGTTTTGAACATGTTCTTTAACAAAATACAGTTCATTCATTTTTTTATGTAAATTTCTGCACTTGTCTTTATCTTTCACAGTCAAAGATTAATTGTGTGTTATGCTATATCGTCTTAATTAATTAATTAAGTTAATTTCCTTCAGTTATTTAGCACTGGAAAAAGTATGCTTACGCACTTGCAATGCTTGGAAGATTCTTTTGCTCCTGAACAGATGTTTAAGTTGAAACCTGTATATGTTTTTATAAATATTGTTTTGTTAAATTTTATTAAATATTTCGTAAATTTAAAAAATATTTTTAAATACTATCAAAAATAATCTGCTTAATGCTCAGATAATTACCGTCGAAATCCATTTAAATGTTTTTCAAGTAAACAAAAAAATGTACAAATAAAACTAGTTTTGAGTTACTTTCAGTGTGAATATAGTCGTCAAAAAGTATAACGCGGTAGTAATTAACACTACAACAGAATTTGTACGTGTAATTCTTAATTAACAAAGAAGTTTCAATTTACTGTATGTATGATACGTTTGAGCATATACAAAAAGAGGATTGACTTGACACATACTGATACAGTATGTGGCATTTGTTGTCTCCTTCCCCGAAACGTCACTCATATGAAATATTCAGAACGACTCCTCAGTGTCGTTCTGAATGTTTGCTCAAATTGACAGTAACTAGCGAAAAACGGAGAGCGATTTTTATTCACTCCGCTTCTTGCGTTTGTTGGCGATTCGCTGTCTTTGTGTATTAACCTTAAGCAAATTCTTTTTTTTTCATTTTTTAAAAATTGCTTACAATTTTTCCTTTTTAAAGTGAATAACGCATAAATGAAGAAAAAGTATTGTAGAATACCGAAAAATATGACGTTTAAATGAAAAACGTGTAAACGAGACACTGTATTGTTTTAAAATGAAGAAAGAACCGTGCAAAAAATATTTAATGTATAATTGCGAAAAAAAACGTACGACTAAGTAACGTAAATGTATTGTATTTTATGTAAACTAGGGATGGATATACTTTTGTACCATAAGGGCTATCTATAGACTAATATATTCCAAGTCATGTGATCACCTGACAACAAAACAAAACAAAACAAAAAAAAAGAACACGTACGTTGATAAAGATAATTACAATAATTTCAAATAATGAATTTATTATTAGAAAATATAAAAAAAAGCAAGAAACTATTATTTTAATGTGAATCATGTAAGTCTATGCAGATTCTGAAGAGCCGACAAATAAAAAAATACTTCTCCAGACTTTTGAAATCTTACGAGCAGTCAGCCTTAAATTTGCTCTCGGTCCACGATTGACGTCTTGCCCATTCCAGACGTTTTTTGATAAAAAAACAGCGTTACATACGCTGCTTTTTGGTGTAAAAATAGTCAAATTCTTATAGTTTATATATAAATGGCCACAGTTTACTATAACCAAATCGATAACAATTTAATTATCTAATAAAATAGACGGGCAGAACCAGAGCTGATTTTATTGAAGAAAGACGAATCTCATCGAAATCTTTATGAATTCGTCCATATTTACAATGTAATGTCTGAAAATCTTTACAGTTCTTATCAGCATTTAGTCAATTTAAAATATCTAAACTTAGAAGTATTTTATTTATTTAGGTCATGAAACATTTGTATAGTCCCATTTCTCTTGTCACAGTAACGTTCTCAATTCCAACCACTTTCACCGATACGAAAATAAAATTTGTAAATTCCAAAAACTTAACAGTAAGTGAATGTAAATGGTTGTTTACAAAAACATTTAATACATCATAACTTTCGTTTATGATTTTATTTATTTAACAGATTTTGAATCTCGATTTCGAGTTCGATTCTGACATCTGCAATTTCACGAATGTCGAAACAGCAAATGACGACTCGGAAAGCGATGGCCTGAATTTCACAATTTCAAATATCAAGTCGAAGAGAAATAGTAATAACCTGATTTCTGTGGACAGAAGCAAGAATCTGATACTTGTGAGTTCTATTTTTAAGGATTTGTTAAATTTACAACGTCAGCTTTAATTCTGCCATGATTTATTATACTCTCTAGAATTGTAAAACGTCAGTATGCGAAAACGTTGTATGTTCTGTTGGTCCTTTTGATGATAAAAAGAAAAGCTCGACTTTCTACATAAAAGGATATATAAATGCCGAAGTCCTCAGCTCAAATTTGGTGCGTATTTTATATTTTATATTCATATTAAATCACATATAGATATTAAGAAGTTTTTTTTTAGAAAATAGTAATTCTTTGATTGGAAATAATTTACTGATCGAGATTGGTCGATGTAGGCATTAGTTAAATTTGTAATTAGATATAATAGTTATACTCAAAGTTGTGTGAGACTCCACTCACTATGTACAGATGGTTAAAATTTATTTAAAAATATAAAAATCTGTGTAGGATCTCTGGTTTGTTGTCAGCTCCTGACATCAGTGAGAATATATATTTTAATTCGTGTTCTAACTCGCGATAAAGATCCGATTTTCTTCCGAGTGAAAAGTAAGGGATGTTAATTCGGCAATGAAAGAAGGCCTGGTTTAATTTAAAATATAAAACGATTATATTTATTTATACAAAAAAATAATGATAAAGATTACAAAATAACATACTTGATTAGTTAATATTAAAATAACACTATATAAGTTTCAAACTTCGATACAAGAATTAAACTATCCTATCTTAAAGTTTATACATATTCGCGTTGAGTTTACAATTATTTCATTCGTTACCTGGGGATGTAATGCGAGAACCTTTTCTGTTGATTGAGAAGACTTCTTTTGTCATCCTTTCTTAATATGATCGATGTATCAAACGCAAATCGGGATCAACAAGGAACTTTATTTGAATGATTAAACGGCACACGGCTAACGACATGAGATTCACGACAGAAAGCCTGGATAAAAAGTAACCTCCGCCTTTTATAGCAAATCGGTGGACTTATGAGGAGTGTCCACGTGTTGTTTCTCTCTCCTAAAACTTTCATTTTAGAAGGAACTCCTCTTTTCCTGTGAATCAGAAAAAGTTAACTAAATAACTGAAATATTTAACAAATAGATAATTTTATTGTAGAGCTTTATTGTATAAATAATGCACATATTCTTTTTAAGATCTGAGATATGAAAAAGACACGAGTTCAGCTAAAATTGTGAAGAAAAGTAAAATTTAGCTAAAAATATTAACCGACTATTAATAAATGTGTTAAATGAGCAACTAAACTTTAATTGAACTATTCCTGGCGTCACTAACAAGTAAGTCAGTTTTGAAGGGGTGTATGGCAAAAATAGTCGCTCTTATATCATTTCATGTTTGATAATACAAAAACTAAAAGTTTTTCAAAGTATACAGATCTTTTATTAAAAGTACAATATGTTGATCAATTTTTCAAAATATTTTATTCAATAAGTAAAAATTCTGGATAAAGTGGATTTTTCTTACTTTATATTTCTCACTTTAATATTATTTTGATTACAATATATATGTGTAATCTTTGATTTAATTAAGATCGTTCTATTTTTAAGCTAAAAAGTTAAACGTATTATTTTCTAGAAAGAATGGGATAATATCACATTCTCTTCACAAGGAAAACTGACGATCGAAGAAGAGAGAATTATTGCTCAACCTAGAAGTCATCTACCACACGAAACTGAAGTAATCGTTAATAATATTAACTTATTTAACTCAAGATTCAGTGTTAATGAAATTAAATTTCGTTTAGGTCTCAACGAACGTAGTACTTTCCATTACTTTAAAGGGCGCTAAGATTTCAAAATGGGTTTTGCCCGTTAGCATTGTACACTGGGTGGCATTTGTTGTCTCCTTCCCCGAAACGTCACTCATATGAAATATTCAGAACGACTCCTCAGTGTCGTTCTGAATGTTTGCTCAAATTGACAGTAACTAGCGAAAAACGGAGAGCGATTTTTATTCACTCCGCTTCTTGCGTTTGTTGGCGATTCGCTGTCTTTGTGTATTAACCTTAAGCAAATTCTTTTTTTTTCATTTTTTAAAAATTGCTTACAATTTTTCCTTTTTAAAGTGAATGTATTGTATTTTATGTAAACTAGGGATGGATATACTTTTGTACCATAAGGGCTATCTATAGACTAATATATTCCAAGTCATGTGATCACCTGACAACAAAACAAAACAAAACAAAAAAAAAGAACACGTACGTTGATAAAGATAATTACAATAATTTCAAATAATGAATTTATTATTAGAAAATATAAAAAAAAGCAAGAAACTATTATTTTAATGTGAATCATGTAAGTCTATGCAGATTCTGAAGAGCCGACAAATAAAAAAATACTTCTCCAGACTTTTGAAATCTTACGAGCAGTCAGCCTTAAATTTGCTCTCGGTCCNTTATTTCCTATTATTAAATATTTTGTATACTTTTTGTTTAGATGGGATTCTTTAAAAGAAAAAGAAAAGGTGAAATTCAAGCGTTAAAAACTAATTTATTGCAAAAGAAATCGACAAGTAACGAGGAAAATATAAATGAAAACTGAAAATTAGATAACAAAGTTTTCGAACATACAAACAAATATGTACAGTACTGTATATCAGTAACTTTTCTTTATTAATTAAAAAGTGAAAAAAGAAGAAACTGCGAAATAATTTATAGTTTAAATCTTAATCTTGAATCTTCCTTCTAGAGGGTGAATCTTCGGCTAGTTTTGTTAAAGTACAGCAACTTACATTGTTAAGGCGCGTTGCCGTACCTTAACAAAACAAACAATTAATCAATTGTAACTCTATCAAGAATATCTGGGAGACGTATGAACGATATCAGAAGAGTCGGTAAATGGCAAGTTGATAAGCTTGTTTAACAGAAGTTTTAAAAATTTCGTAGTGATTTATTTTATGGGAGTGTTAGAAGCTGTAGCCCATGTACACGTAGGCAGTAATCAATGTTCCTTTGAAAATTGGTAAAATGAATAGGACTTACGCCAAGTTTGGATGAAGTTGCTACAGTTTTTCCAAAATATTCCTGTACGAATTTCCAAACCTTTTATTATTTTACAATATAATGCTTTTAGGTGAGTTTTTCATTGACTATAATGCGTAAGTCAGTAACAGCACTGACAAATATAAGAATACTGTTGAAATTTTGAATGTGAAATCAGGACGTGTTCTTATCAAGGCAAAATACCAGGGACCTTATTTAGATTAATGACGAGATTAAGATTATGGTGCTTGTCTGAAAATTTATCTAAATCCTGCTGTAGGATGTTCGGGTTATTACTTATAATTTTAACGCCTCAATTGTGGCCAGTTTAAGAAATTGAAATTCCTGCTAGGTGTTTTCCTTCCCAAAATTATCTGCGTTTCTTAGTGAATTGTATAAGCCAAGTTATCGTTTAAAAATAAAAGATCTTTCCGCATGAAGAACAGAAACGTGAAGTTTATTAAAAACAAAAAGCATCAATTTTACGATTAATTCGATAATTGCAATTTGCGTCATCAAAATTTGTTCGATCAAATCATATAGCATATAAGATAACGGTGACCTGCGTTGATATGCTTGACAACGTTATTTTAAAGGTTTCAGTATTCTGAAAGAGCACATCAAGTCCTTATCGATGAACATAATTGCACCGGCGTTTTCGAACTCTCCGCAATAATTGGAGGCGGAGAAAAGGGTTATCAATTGACGTCTACCAAAGAACTCATATCCATCTTCTACCACTTGATGGGCACGAATTATTAAGTCGAAGTTGTGTTGGAGCAGAAATTTCTCTACCACATCCGTACCGAAGGTGACGGATATACCCCTTTCCCGATTTTCTCGCCATCCTTTAGAATTCTTTTCCGGATCGGACCACAGTAAATCGCACAAAAGACCTTCTTCGGGTACTTCGATGGGTCTTACTAGCTGACGTATATGATCTAAAGACTCTAACTTAGGACTGAGTCCTCCATGACAACAGAAAATTTTGTCGTCTATGATGGCCGCCACAGGTAGACAATTGAAGCACTCGTTAAATATCTTCCACAGTTTAACGCCGCACTTTTTCCTGCATTCTTCGTAAAATCCATAAATTCTATTGACGTTAGAGCATTCGTGGTTACCTCTGAGCAGGAAGAACGTCTCGGGGTATTTGACTTTGTAGGCAAGCAGAAGACAGATAGTCTCCAGTGACCAATCGCCTCTGTCCACGTAATCGCCCAGAAACAAGTAATTGCTGCGAGGTGGACAGCCGCCCAGTTGAAATATTCGAAGTAAATCGGGGTAATGTCCGTGAACGTCACCGCACACAATAAGCGATGGTTCCAATTCCAGAAGCATCGGTTGCTTCAAGAAGATTTTTCTAGCTTGGTAGCAGAGTCCGCGAATCTCTTCTCCTTCCAGTCTCACTTCGCTTCCCTCAACAGAATTTCGAAACTCCAAAAGTCGAGAGATAATAGTGTCCACATTAAAGACGCTTTCGTTCATGTTGTCGAACAAAAAAGTCGGACGTTCCTAATAATAAAGAAATCAAGAGACCGATTATTATTGCTCCTTGGCATTGTTTGCTTCAACAATAACGTCTTTGTTATAAGGTTTGCTCTCAAACTTAGAATTACGTAATCCGATTCCAAAACTCGTCGTTGACGTCATTAATATTTTCTTATTGCGGTTCGAAGATCATTTCTAACAAAATTGAATTGCAATCAAATGAAATTATAATGAGATCTACAACAGAATAAAAATGTAAATGCTTTAACAAAGCAGTAATTATAGTAAACTTTACTTCCAGGTTAAATAGTAGAATAGAATATATTATTTAAATACGTAGCTATAATTAAATTAAATCTTTATTTTAAAACTAGCGTTTAGTGATGTGCCGGATCGTTAAAAATGTATATCCGCGGATACGGATACGGATCTCAACTTTCGTACTCAGTCGGTGCCGGTGCGTGTGACCTTGGACCAATAGTTGACGCTTTGCGTTAATAACGCGACGTGTTTTGACTTGCACTGCGCGTGTTCTTGTTTATAGCAATGGAAGACAGGATAAAGTAACAAAAGTTGATATAATTTTCCAATTAAGCTATTTCGCGTCTTTATACAGATTCTATTTCGAGGGATTCCAACTTCACGGTACAAACAGTAGCATGCGAAATTACAGCAATAATAATAGTTCGCTGTATCCAAAGCACGTGTACAATACAGATCCCGATCGCGACAATATAACCCGGAACCTTAAACATTAACTTAACACTAATAGCAGAAAAAGGGATAGAAATAAGAAGACAGAAAAAATGGTAGATAAGATAGAAATAGGGATATCTGGGGGTTTTGTCCCTTTTTTCGGCTTGTTTCTTTATGCATACTGTTCGGTGGGATAAAACACGTCCTTCTCCTATAACTGGCCAGTTCTCTTCTTCAATAATTAGGATTTTTCCTTCCACAGTCGTCAATACGACCTTAAAACAGGAACTTCTTTCTGAACTTATTTCTGAACTATCCGGTCATTGAAAATACACCTCGTCCGTACACTCTGCAGTCCGGTTTAAAAATGACCTGCTACATCATTTCTCTTTTTTCTCCGGCTCCTCTTTACACCTTTGCTTCTCAAATTTCTAAAAACTGCTCTTCCCACCCAAGGGACAGGGAATAGATAAGAAAGTTCTAGAAGAAAATAGAACAATAGAACTAAGGGTAGAAAGAAGAAACGAAACTAAACTAAAATTAATATTTACATAAATATAGCGTACCGCCACAATAGTTTAGTGCAGTGTTTCACAACCTTTTTTGTCCTATGCCCCACCTAAGCCTTTCTAAAATTCTTATGTCTCCCTAACATATACAGCGGCTATACGGTTAACTTAAACTCTGGAAAGTCCATTTTCGAATTGCCCTCCTTAGCAATCCAATTGCCCCTTGTGGGGCGTGGATCCCACGTTGGGAAACACTGGTTTGTGGCTAGTGTGACACGGGATAGCATAGATTACGTTTGTGTTTTTGGAGAGTGTTGAGTTAAATTAAAATAAAAACAATGTCGACAAAAAAGTTTAGTAGTGTAATATGGAAATACAGGTAACCCCCGTATAACACGGTAGTTACGTTCCAAAAAATTGCCGTGTTATACGAAACAAAGAACTAATACGAAAATGAGGGTTAGGTTCCAAAAATTAAAAAACATGCTAGTATATTTTCATAATTAAGATAAATATCTTCATTAAATTTTTTAAGTGATACATATTAATATAAATTAAACAAATATTTTCTTCGTCATCACTAAAAACACTATTAATTAACCGAGAGCGTTTTCTTTTTGGCAAGTTATCCTTATCCTCTGAGCATTTTTCTGCATTATCTTCAGATCCATGCTTTACCTTTTGCAAAATGTATGTAATTTTAGATTGCTTGCTTCTAGTTAAAAGATCTTTATAAATTTCCTTATATGGTGCTAAGCACTTATGAAGAATAAAGCAAGTATGGAATAAGGGAAAAACATTCGGCAACATCAGAAGCAGAAGCGTCGCGATCTGGCAACATGAAACAAGTTTCGAGAAGGACCACGTGTATCGACAGAAGGCGAGAAGAGAAAATTTACATACTTAAGTACTAATAGTTCACGAAAATAATAATTTTCGTGAACTATTATTACTTAAGTATGTAAAAATTTATTACATTTCATGTTGTACGAGGGTTTTACCCAATTCTCGAACCGTGTCAGAGTGAATCCGTGCTATAGAAGTGCCGTGTTATACGGGGGTTACCTGTATTTTACGATAATAAATGACGAATGTGCTATTGCTACCTATCTTTAAAATTTCATATAAGTAATGAAATTCATTAAGATAAAAGATCCGCTAAAGATCAGCTAAAAAGTAACGGATACCGATACGGATTTTTTTTTCCCTCGGATATCCGCGGATACGGATACGGATACGGATATCCGGCACATCACTACTAGCGTTATACATCAGCAAAAATTTAATCTATATGAACAAAAAGTTTTCTTAAAATTATATGAGCAGAAACTAAGAGGAAAAGAAAGGAAAATGTGTGGATTCTTTAGAATGAAACATGGAGGAAAATGGAGGAGACAAGTTAAACTGAAAGAATTACAAATAAAAAAGTATTAAGAAAAGTGAATGAACTGTTTTATAGAATGTATTAAGAAAGAGGAATTTTATGAGGCATACTTTGAAAAGTTTGTTGAGAAATGTGATGAAAAGAAAAATATGTGAGAAAAGAAAAAAGAGGTAGAAAGAGAAAGATATAGTTTGATGATTTGAAAGAAAAAACGAAAGTTATTAAAACTTGAAAATAAAGATATTTTACGAAATGGTGGAATGGGATGAATTTATATTTGCACCAGCTTTGTAGAAAATAAGAAATAAAAATTAGAAATTACATTTTCATTTAAATTCTATGGGAAATACATTTTAATTAAAAAGAAAAATTAAAATGTATCTTCAATGTAATTACTTTTCCGGTTCTTTAAAACGCGCGTTTTAAAGAATCAAGAGTTCCTCATACATATACATACTCAAACGAGCGCTTCTGGCCAAGTGCGCGTTGATAGATTTTGGTTAGAACACGCGTTTCGCGGGCGTCAGCTGCGCGCTTTGAGATACATATGCTGCCATGTTGTTGTACTGTACATTCGATCGCGCGCATTCGGGTAGAGTGGACGCACGTTGGCCGAAATGGAGATCGATCATTTCGATACTGATCTATTTATTGACGAAATCTAAAAGATCAGCCATCGTCAAATGATTTTATAGATATTCTAAAAGAATTAAAAAACTTGGGTTCTTATTGTCTTAGTTTTGGATACAACGTCACAAACATTTCATGCGTCAGTCTATCTCGTAATATTGGGTGCACCCAAAATTCTCTTTGCCGTTGCCATCGTCTTTTATAGCGACGATAGAGGAGCCACACACAAGCAAATAATTTCATGTCCATTTCCAAACTGAGCCAGTGCGAACGGTCGTCGAACGCCGAGCTAAACGCGCGGTGTGTACGCTGCTAACGTGCGTTTAACGCAACGCAAAACGCCTAATGTGTACATAACCTAATAACTCCGTTGGCGCCTTTATTAAATCGGCGCCTATGGCGGGGGCCACATTGGCCATACCTTAGATACTCTGGGAGTATTGATTGACCATCTTTGCTTTTTAGACTCTGATAAAAATTTACAATATTTTGTATTATATTTTATTTAAAAAACGAAAATTACTTTCTAAGTTAAAAGTTTGATTTAAGTTCATTTTTTAAAAACTTTTCACTCAATTCAAAGCATTTTTTTTGTTGTTGTTGTTGTAGCAGTTTCCAGCAAACTTTAATAAATTTTTTCTATTTGTAAAAATTTCTACGTAATTCAAAGGTAATTTTTAATATATATCTTACACAGCATTATTAATATGATTTTGGAGGTTACAGAACGTCATAAATTACTTTAAAAAATGAAAAATAATTATATCATTTGATTTCATGATATTTTGTATATCTTAAAAATAATTAATTTTGTCCCGGGATCCCGGGAAACAGTTCATTTTTATCCCGGAATCCCGGAACAAGCAAAAGACCGGGAAATGAGAAACCTTAGTCGAGGGTATAAGGATGCATATCTCAATTACTTTTACGTTTATAATTTACGGAATGTTTTACTCGATTCCGGGGAGGGCAAGTGCCCCATTCGTCCCTTAATGCGGACACTCTGACAGTGTTCCGCATTCGTCCCTTAATGCGGACACTTTTTTATTAAAATTTGTAGTTTGTACTTGTTATTAAAATTTTATATGTAATAATTATATCTCTTTAACGACTATTTTTTTACTGTTTACGTGGTATTTAAGAATTTTAAGAGTGACGTCACGATGACGTTTTACTCGATATGTTCCTCGCCAGGAAAGCTTCCTGTAGGTCAGTGTTTTTCAACCTTCTTGAATAAGCGACCCTTTTACAAGTTAAAAAATTCTGGCGACTCCCCAGGGCCATATTAAAACTATGTCAGTGATTTTAAAAACTACATATTTAAGTTTCTTTCTGCTGAGACCTAAATATCGATCAAAAAACCAATTGTACTGTAAAATAAACAAGCACAGCCTTCTCACTGAGATTGTAGTTTTTTTATTGTAGTGTAGGACCTACAAACACTTGTCTTTTTCTTTTACCCGCGACCCCCGTGTAAGGCTTTGCGACCCCCTAGGGGTCGCGACCCACAGGTTGAAAAACACTGCTGTAGGTCATTGTACTGTAACTTCGTCTCTGCGTTAACGACACCATTGTAAACGTCCTTTTTTCTCGTCGACGGAATGTATTATGATGAATCAATGTAATGCATTTTTAAATACCAATGAATGTGCACGTGTTTTATTAATAAAGTCGGTATTAAACGGAACAAATATACACGAGTACACAACCGTTCCTATCTTCTGAAAGGTTAGTCGTACGTGAATTGTTTTATACCAATCGATTTAGCGTGTGAAATTACATCTAAACCTACTTGTAAATATTAGGTCTACGATCTTTCCTGGGCTTTAGTCTTTTTGCTTACGTCTAACCGAAAACTCTTAATCACAGATAAACTCTTAACCACCTCACAACAAATGGATGGTCCTGTACAATAGCGCCTTCATACGGCTTAAAAAAGAACGAGAAAGGTCACCATGCGCGCGCGCTGTAATTTATTTTTGCTAGACACTGTTTACTTCCAAGATGTAAGGCGTTAGTAATAAAATTATGTGGCAGATGTTAGTAATGTAACAAGTATGTATGTCAGTTTTTTAATATCACAGATCTTTTCATGAAATTTAAAATGTTTCAAACTTTAATGCTTACATATACATGCTATTACATGTATATATATACAGTATAGATCCTATATATGCATTTTATATAAAAGTAAATTTGTTTATAATCCGAAAAATGTAGAAATTTGAAAATTACTTGACGTCTTTATCGCATATTCTTATGAAATGTTATTAAATTATATGTTTAAACAATTAAATTAACTCGATTGAAATAAAGTTTATAAATATAAATATATATTATATATATAATCGTGGTAATATTATTAATATTAATATGTATTTATAAACGATGTTGTAATGCAGGCTCGTATATGTTTAATATCAAGAGCATTTCCGAATTAACTTTCTATATTTCAAAGTTATTACAGTAAATAAGAAGTTGCTATTTTTATATTAGTATAACAAAAGCAGTTTTTTCATTTCTTTATTAATATATCTATCTATCTATCCAGTGGCATTCTCTCTACAGAGGGTTGCATTTGATAAACTATTCCACTCCATGTTTCTCTATTCCAGGCTTCTCTTAAATCCTTTCCAGTCCAGTCTTTGATGTTGTCTCTCCAAGTCTTTCGGAGTCTTCCTCTAGGTCTTGTCCCCTCCACCAGTCCCTCAATCACCGTCTTTAGCAGTTGTCCTCCTGATCCTCTAGCCAAATGTCCAGCATATCGTACCTTTCTTTGTTGGATATTTATAAGCAACTTTCTCCTCAAACCCAGCCTGACCAAAACTTCCTCATTTGTTATTTTCTCCGTCCAACTTATTCTTTGCATCTTTCGCAGGCACCACATTTCAAATGAGTTAATTCTTTCCATCATTTCATGTGTAAGAGTCCATGCCTCGCATCTGTATCTTAGTACACTCCAGATCATTGTCTTTAGGATCTTTATTTTCAGTTTTATGTTAAGGCCTCTGTTTGTTAATATATGGTAAATCTGATAAAATGCAACTTTTGCTTTATTAATTCTGCTTTTAATTTTCGTATTACATCTATTATCACTCGTTATCCAGCTTCCTAGATATTCAAACTTTTTAACCCTTTCAAGTTCCTTATTTCCCAGAATGATCTGGAATTCATCCATATCTTCCTTCTTTGAAACCTTCATTACTTTTGTCTTCTGTTCATTTATTTTCATATGGAATTTCTCCAATCCAGTTTTGAACAGTCGATTCAGAATTTTCTGTAATCCCTCTTTACTTTCACTCAGCAGGACCATGTCGTCAGCAATGGATGCTTAATAAACAACATATCTTATGTTCTTTATTAAGCATCCATTGATTTTCTTATGTTGTTCTTAATCATCTATTGATTTTTCACTCCTTCGTTAAAATCTTCAAGTGCTTCTCGCATCATCCACTCACTGTAAATATTAAATAACAGTGGCGAATGTCCGCATCCCTGTCGCACTCCTTTTTCACCCTTATCCAGTTGGATTCTTTTTCATCAATTTTTATTATTGCTTTCTGATTTTTGTATAAAGAGAGAATAATTTTAATTATCTTTTTATCTATTCAAATTTTTTGAAGTATTTCAAATAAAATTGTGTGATTAACGTTGTCGAACGCCTTTTCATAGTCCACAAAGCACAGATAAAGATCTCTATTTTTTTCAATAATTTTTTCTCCAATAAGTCTAATTAATGTAATGGCCTCTCTAGTTCCTTTGTTCTTTCTAAATCCAAATTGTGATTTTAGTTCTGCTTCAATTTAGTTCTGCTTCATTTAGTTCTGCTTCAATTTTCGGTTCTATTCTTCTATAGATAGTATTAGTTAAAACTTTTGAGATATGGCTTATTAAACTTATTATTCTATGTTTGTCGCATTCCAGTATTCCTGCTATTTTGGGTATAGGTATAAATATTAAATTAGTAAAGTCTGTGGGTAGTTGTTCTTCTGCAAGAATTTTATTGAGAACATGACTTGTAATCCTTCTTCCCTCAAAACCCATTGACTTAAGCAATTCCCCATGTAAGCCATCAATTCCAGGTGCCTTCCTATTCTTCAATTTTTTCAAGGCTGCCTCAACTTCATCCTCCAGAAATTTAGGGGTTTCATCATCGTCATATTCCTCCTCCAGTTGACATTCCATGTTATCCTCTGTTTTATAAAGTTTTGTCAAATATTCATTCCATCTTACTAATTGCTTTTCCTTCTGCATTAAAATTTCTCCATTCTCATCCTTTATTGCCCCAATTTTCACTCTTCTTTTCTTTCCTGAGATTAAATCAATGTTTTGATAGACCTTTCTCAGATCTTGAGACAATTTATGTTCTTCTCATTCATAGCATATTCTGTCTAGCCAATCTTCCTTAGCTTCTCTTGCCATACTTTTCACTTGTTTATCGATTGTTCTATATTTTTCTTTAGCATCTAATGTATTTGCGCTTTTCCATCTTCTCCTTTCATCCATTTTCTCCAACACTTCTTTTATTAATATATATGTATGTATATATATGGGCCAGGTGACTAATAAGTTAGGTCATTATTTACAATGTCCAGTCGTTACGAATAATGAGTGAAACTCCCATACAGCCTGTTAAATATTGATTAATTTATTAATCACCGTAAATTGAATAGATATTCCCTTTGAGAAACTTGATTTTTTAAAAAACGTAACTTTTTTATTAAGAATTATACAAAGTATTTTAACAACACTCATATTATATGCGTAATACAAGCATTAATACAGATATATTAATTACATAAACTCTTTAATATTGATCAACAGACATTATACAATAATTAGAATGATTATTAAAATAAGTTTATTTTGGCAATGACTTTGTACTTAGCTTTCAATAAAATATGTGAAAATTTCACTTAAAAACTGGATTATTTTTTAAAAGTATTATTAACTGTTTTAATTAAACTAATTTTGCCAGATGGATCACTCCTCAAGATATCATTATCACGTTTTCCAATAAGTCAATATGAATACTTCATTCATATTGACTTACTAGTGTGATAACTTTATGCTAAAGAACGTGAAATTTATTACAGTGCCCGATTTTGTTCGTCATTATTTATAATGCACGGCCATTGTGGATGATGTCAATATTAATCAGTTAGTTCATAACATATACACAAACTTACTTTACTACACTAATTCACATAGAACTGGAGAATGCTAACTCAATTTTGCGTGGGTTTACCCAAGGCCGTCTAGAATCTAGACTCTAGAATGTCTAGATCAGTGTTTCCCAACGTGGGGCTCACATCCCACACGGGGGGCAATTTGAAAATGGACTCGTCCAGAATTTAAGTTAACAGTATAGCTGCTGTATATGTTAGGGAGCATAAGAATTTTAGAAAGGCTTAGGTGGGGCATAGCACAAAAAAGGTTGGGAAACACTGATCTAGATGATATAGGCCGTAATACTAGTTGAGTGACGTCATACGCTGGGGCCGTGTTAGTTTATTACGTACTCCATTTACATTTTATTCTAGAGATATATCTCTTAAATAATACACCATATTTTACTGTAATTGTATACATATTGTTCAATTCAATAATTTAACATTTTATCAATCACAATTATTTAAATAGGTGTTTAAAAAATTATTAAAAAATTACCAATTCGTCCTTATATATTAAATTTTATTAAAAGTTTAATTAAACTATATAAATGAAACAATTTTAGTTACAGAATATTTAACATGTTTATTATTTACAAAGCTGTTTATAATCAATATTAACGTTACTTTTTAAATGTCATAAACTTTCTAATTGGTTTTCTTTCTTTTAATTTATCATTTCTAATTTTGCAATAATTATTTATTAATATGTTGGACATTATTTCAACACAACATTTTATCAATTTATTGAATTCTATCTTTCTTATAACTGCAAATATTATTTTGAAAACAAAATACATTATTTTCAACTAATTTATTCATTACTAAACTTACTAAAGCTTTTTTTCCAATTTTTAGTGCCAAAAATTCACATTCATAATCATTCAGAATGGTCTGCAATATCTGAAAGGTATTTATACATATTACAACAAATTCTTGTGGCTATTTAAGACCACCTCTATCAATTATCTTCAGATATTTTGCCAAATCATTATCTGTACATTTATACTCTAGTGGAGAATCACATGCTAGTAATGATTTACATTGTTCACAAGAAGTTTTCTTAATTACTGAATATGCAACATAACTTGCAGTGTAAATCAGAACTGACATGTTCTGTTCTGCAATAATAATAATATCAGATTTTTCTATTATGCCTTCAAATGCTTCTTCAACATCAAAATCAAATCTATCCAACTCTGCATTATTAGCAAAAGATTCAAGAAATGCTCTAATTTGAAAATTCCCAATTTTGGATGATTTCATATTTAGCAGGCTTATTAATTTCAGTTTTCTTTCTGATTCAATAATTTCAGAAACAGAAATATGATAGCTACTTCCTGACATCTGTCTATACTGTCCAAAGCGAGCTTCCAGCATATCTGTTTGAAATTTACCCAATAACACATAATGTGCTCCAAGTTCATTTAATATAAATTCTGTAAGTTCATACATTGCTTTAATTGTATGCTCTAATTCTTTTTGAGTTTTTACTGTTAATTTCCCATGTTGATTACTGGACATTTGAGCAACCTGATGATTATAATAATTAATGATAATTATTTCATACTTGGAACCATTTAAACATGTCTTTTAAAAATATAACTTTAAAATCCAAAATATCTGTTATTGGTTCAGAAAATTTGTCTTTTAGAATTTTTCTTTTATGTGGATGTTTACATTTAGTATTTTCCACCATTTGGCGATTATATCTAGAAAGTAAGAAGTTTCCATACTGTTTTGCATTTGCTGTTTGATTGTCAAAGCAGCATTTTTTTTAATTAAATATACTGCAAGCTAGTGCTACATTCTGTCTCTCTAACTTTGATGGATAAAGCACCCTCTTGAATAATTTTGGAGCTAATTTAATAGTACTACTTTCTTCTTGAAAATTTATTGTTTTTAGGCACTGCAAATTAGCAAAACATGTGCCAGGAAGTAAATTATTATAATCAAATAAAACAGAATTTTGTAATGTAGAGAAAACAAATGTTTGCCTATTGTCATGCTGGTTTAACCAGTTGTTTCTGATACATTTTAATAAATATACTGAATCAAATAATAAAAATATTTTGTCTGATGATGAATATTGATTTTGAATATTTGTTGTTAACAAACCATTACAAAATTTTTCAAACATTACACAATTAATTCTATTATTATTATATATAATTGTTATCACTTTGTATCCACATTCTTTTAACAATTTTAACACACTACATGTAATTTTATGCCAGTTAAATTTTTAATGGGAAATAATGCAACTACATCTTTGTTTTTGGAAAATACTGAAGATATTATAAAAACTTGCATTGTAGTTTCCTCGGTGTTTTCAATATTTTTTGACATTACTTCAATTCAACCACCTTTGTACAATAATTTGGGTTTGACATAAATCTCACAATGCATTATTCCTTATTTAAATAATAAATTCACAATGCATTCTTCCTTATTTAAAATTTCAGATTTTTCATGCAGGTAAGTAATATGTGAATTACTTATTCCAGATTAATAATGACCTAAATCCATTACCATTTTTTTTAAGATAAACAGGATTTGGCAGTATCAGTATTGAGATATTTTGAATTAGTATGTATGCTGCAGGATATGTGAAAAAAACTTACAAGAAAACATCAGTGTTTCTGATGATTATTTTGGCACTTTTATTGTAAGATTTATTTGTTCACAAATAAAACTTTATTTCATTGAAAGACTGGAATTTGGATCAGTTTCTAGATATTCAGTAATCCAAATGGATGCATATCTGACTTATATGAATTCAATTAATTAAACAAACTTGCTCCACAGATCACATTTCATGCTATCACCTAATATCCACTTAAATTTTGATAGAGCAATCGAAATTTCATTTTGCCATATTTTAACAGATAAATCTTCCATAACTTTGATACCAATAATAATTTTTGGACATTGTGTAACATCTATTTTTAAAAAAGAAATATATTGTAATGAATCCATTTCAGATAGTATTGTAATTCAATCTTCAGGAATTCTTTTCCTTCCAATTTTTTCTAACTCCTTAAAATTAATCTTATCTGTGGATAACCACTTTTTACACTTTTTTTCTTCTCTTTCAAGCAATTCAGTTGATCTTTCTTCTGGATTGCACGTTTTTGTTGGAAGTATAGTACATAAGTATGATGGCTGATTTGGAAATTTTGTAGGAAATGCATCCTTTTTTAGACTAGGATGTTTATGTTGAATAGTGAGAATAGTACCATCATCACGCACTGCGCTATCTTCTCTAATAATAAACTGTTCATCAAAATGATGTATGCAAACTGCAGAATTAGTACTTGGTTCAATATCTTTTCTATGTATTGCTTTAATGTATTGTTTACATCGAATAGGATCTTTGGGAAAACTGAAAACATTAGTGTATTCCTTCTGTATACCATAATTAGACATACAACCAGGCACACATTTTCATGGCATTTAAAATTAAAGAAAATAATTTAAATTGCTGTTTATAAATATGCATATAAAAAAAATCTGAAAAAGTATAAAGTTTTAGTTTTAAATACATAAAATATAGAGTACATTTGTATGCAAGGTATACTGTATATATGCATCTTATGTTAGAAACTGGTCTTTGTATAAAAAATGTTAAATAAATTTAAATGTAATCAATCAGAATTCAATCTATTGCATACGAAACCGTCAGTATGATAAGCGCCATCTACATTTCATTTCTAAACGCGCATGCCGTCGAGGTTACCGGATGGGCTGCTATCTTGGATACCTAGGGTAAATCTAACCTTGTTTAAATTTTACAATAGTTTAAACAAGTTTAGTATTATATTGTTCATTTGCTTATATGTATACAGTATTTACATCTAAAAATGATAAATGTATATACAGTAGAGCGTCGATTATCCGGAAGTCAATCATCCGAAAGAATTCCAGTCGGCAAATTTAAATTTTCGCCAGTGCTGTGGCGCTGCAATCTTTGGCTATGTCTTGGGCTACTCAAATATTTTACGTTTTTGATACTAAATTAACATCTGAAGTATAATTTTTTATTGTTTTTATATTTTTCAATATATTTATTTTGTTTGTATAAAATAAAAAAATAATTTTTAACGATACAATAGTCTTCGTTAGGCTTAACATCGACGAAAATTCAACGCCAAGCGACACGCAACGGAGAAAAATTTCAACATGGGATAAATTAATATATTTTTTCGTACATAATCGGTTATCCGAAACATCGATCTTCCGAACAACCCCAGTCCCCAATTGATTCGGATAATCGACGCTTTATCGTAGTTCCAAATTCTTATTTTATTAATAAGTTATCTTATTTACTCAACTGGGAAAAATAAAATAACCAAACTACATTAAATTACAGTAGACCCCTATAACACGGGTTCATATAATACGGATTCGTATAAGACGGCGAAACAATTGCGATCGTATTCGTATAAACACGCTAAAAGAGACTCGTATAATATAGTAAAGTGTGAAATCCGGAATTTTTACCGAATTTCCCGATTAATATCCCGCACTTTTCTAAACCCCAATTAAATTTTCCTTTAAACTCTAAACTAAAACCTAACTTAAAAGAAAAAGGGAAAAATTCCAATCTCCCCTTTCGTTCAGGGTAAACATCCGTCCATTTCGAAAACAATCCTACATTCCAACTCCTAAGTTGATAGTTAGCATGGGCCCGGGGACAATTTTGACCCATCCGCGTACCTTTTACCTTACAACAATTGGTCACATGACCATTCTCCCACGACGAAACTATAAAAGCCATTTGCTTCCCCCTCTCGGGGGAGTCGTTCATCCGCTGTCACTTTAATACTATGTCCTACGAATATTATATCCTACCAATAATTGTCCTAAGAATCATATCCTACGAATACTCTGTCCTACGAATCCTACGTGATCCTTCAAATATTACGTCTAATCGTATTTACCTCAACGAGAAACAAATTTTTTTCCTCAAAGGATTATCATCAGAAAGAGGTATGGAACAAATTTTTGTGAACTCTCTCTCTCGGCCCTTCGCGTTTTAGGGACTCAGATTTTTCCCTTGAAATTAGTTATTGTAATATCTATGTAGCTAATAAATCGTTGTTATCTTGTTAAATTGGTGTCCTCTTTTACTCGTATATCGCCTGTCATCTTACCGACGGCACTCCTCCCTCCGCCACTCGATTCGAAACATTAAATCCCGTTACCGCAGGGAAAAGGATAAACTGTAATCCATCCTGACAGTGAGAAGGTTTAACGACCTGTCGCTGGAAAGGGAGACCTCCAACCTCCCTAGCGGTTCACAAAAGCGTCATCGCCGACTCGTGTCGCGACAGGATTGGTCGAATCTAGACCAATAGCGGATATTGCACAAACTGTTGAGTTTAAACGAGCAGCGGATCTACTGAAAACCATTTATTATTTAACGGCCATAAAAACTATATTTATATTAATGATGTCTCCAAAGTTAAGCAAATTTTTCGCAGAAAAATAACATGTCAGAAAACGCGGCCGCCGTTTGGTGCGCTGCTCCGCGACGAAAACAAGCTTAAGCAATGGCGTCGTCGAACGGTGCACACTCGGTAAGTAACCCTACAATGTTTTAATTAAATTGCCTCAATGTCCTTTTTTCTTATTAATATGTAAATTTTCGACTATAAATTCGTATCTTCTATTATCAGGACTTATTATACTGGTTTTACAGCTTTGTAATATTATCTGTAAAACCAGTATAATAAGTCCTGATAATAGAAGATACGAATTTATAGTCGAAAATTTACATATTAACCTACAATGTTTTGTTTATAGCATAGTTTATACGGATTATTCCCAAAAAATTATACGTGTTTTGGAAATGTTGAGTCAAATTAGTCTAGAATCGATTAATTTTATGGAAGAAAACCTTTCAAACAGCCGTAGTCCGTAAACTGCACACGTGCCGGGCTGTGATTGGCTCATGTATTTAAGTGACTCGTAAAACACCGAATTCATATAAAACGGAACGTATCTACCGTGTTATGGGGGGTCTATTGTATCAAAATATAAATTTTTTTAAAAATCATTTACAGTCGACCCCCTATAACGCGGTAGATACGTCCGCTTTATAAAAATTTCGCGTTGTAGGAATCCTCAAATACATGAGCCAATTACAGCCCGGCACGTGTGAGGTTTACGGACTACGGCTGTTTGAAAGGTTTTCTTCCATAAAATTAGTCGATTCTAGACTAATTTGACTCAACATTTCCAAAACACGTATAATTTTTTGGGAATAATCTGTATAAACTATGCTATAAACAAAACATTGTAGGGTTACTTACCGAGTGTGCACCGTTCGACGACGCCATTGCTTAAGCTTGTTTTCTGATAAGTTATTTTTCTGCGAAAAATTCGTTGAACTTTGGAGACATCATTAATAGAAGTAATTTTTATGACCATTGAATAAGAAATGTTTTTTCACAAGAAATGTATAAAATTACAGTACTGTATTAGACTTACAGTACCTAATTTAGGACTATATACTGTACAGACGATAGTAAACTGAACTTACCGCCTAAACTCTCCGCAGCGTGTAAGTAGTTCGGCTGCTCGTCCACTATTGGTCCAGATTCGACCAATCCTGTCGCGACACGAGTCGGCGATGACGTTTTACCGCATTTTAGGAGTCTCTTTTAGCGTCTTTATACGAATCCGCATTATATGAACCCGCGTTACAGGGGGTTCTACCGTATATTGAAATGATCAGTTAGGCTTAGCGTTCATGAATAAAAATAACTCATTTTCTTTAAAATTTAATATGTGAACATCAATCTATTGTAATTCAAGTTTAACTTACTTTATTAATTTAATATTAATCCATGGAAGTAGTTTACAACTAATAATTTTTTTTTTAACATCTGCATCCAACCACAGCTAATCCGATCACAAATGAAATCTCGTTCAGGACTATCTTGTTCTAACGTGTTTCTAACGGATCCGAGGAATGCGTCACCAAAAGTTTCGGCTTCAGGTTTACTGCCTGTATCATCTAGACGGCCTTGGTTTACCACTTTACTTTCTCCAGATTCTGCGTGGGTTTGTGAAACTCTATCGAAAATAACTTGCGCAATTTTAATACGTAGAATATCCGATGATGATATTTTTCAATATTCTTTATTAAATGTATTCTTAAATTAATGAATTCGGTTTATTCTAGATCGTTGGGAGGTGCTATCGAACGTTGAGAAGTTTTAACATATATTGTATCTTTAGAAAACTTAAAAATGAAGTATCAATGTCAACTACACCAATGCTGCTGCTTTAAAAACAGTAAAGATGCTTCGCTAGCATCGGGGATTTATACAACTGTAAGTAATTATTAAATTATTATTACATTAAATTTAAATTTATTTAGACAATCACTTTTTATATATTTTAATTAATATTACTAAACTTTATAAGCATGTATATTTTATATCGTTTTGATTTATTTAAACAGTAAAAATTAAACTTCACTTTCTGATTTAATGAGTGAAATTCCTTTTATCATCATTATTTTTCAAAGACATTTGAAATTTATTTGAAGTTAATTTAAATAAATCAAAGTATTAATCATTGTAAATCAAGCATGTAATATTAAACAGAACGTGCTCAGCAAATAATTAACTTATCAGACTACACTTTGTTTTGCCGAGATAGTTTTATTGAAAAACTGACGTTTTCGGTCTACTCTATAGGCTATCCTCAGACTTAACGATAGAAAAAGAACATTGGCGTTCCATTAAATAGAATACATAAAGGAGAAGGTTGTATTACGGAACCCCATTTTCATTTTAGTGAATTGTAAACAAAGTATCATAACTACATCCACATTTTTTGTGCGAAAAGTACTGGTAACTATTAAACTAAATGTTACAAATTGGATTTTTCGCTAGTGTAACTATAAGTATGGTTTTTGAAGGCTTCTGTACAAAAAGTCAGAAAGTAGGCTTAGAGAAAATCGGGTGGTAATATAAATATTATTGTATGTTTTCAAAAAATGCTTTTAATGTATCCAAAAACAAATAGGAAAGTATAAAGAATGTTAAATAATTACAAAATTATTTACTGCAATATATTTTATCGAAAAAATACTTTTATAATAGAAAAATATGACCTCCATCAACAATATGTATTCCAGCAGCTCTTTTTCGATATTCTCAGGAAGAATTGGCTTTCTACCTAGTGTCTTTTTCACAAATTGCTCCTGACGAATGTCTGCTTGCAAATAGAGTTCGGAGGAGTTGGGTTCCCAGATGAGTTAGGTTCTATATTAAAAGCACCAATGGAATCGCCATCTTGAATTAACTTATGTCTGTCAAGACCAAATTTTAAAAAACGTGAACATCATACAGATTAATATGTACCCCTAAGTCTCTGGAACGGAATACATGCACCAGTGAACCTTCACGATTTATATTTTAGAAATAATTAAATTCACTTAGCATTCAAAACTTTCGAATTTCGAAAAACACAAATATGCTAATTCACTAGGGACAACCGTTTAACTGAAGTGAAACGGGTTTTCCCCTTGCTATGGATGTCTGCCTAGTGCAGTTCTGCCACAATTCGCTACAGTTCGCCTTTATTATCAGTTCGAAATGAAATGGTTCCATAATACCACCTTTTCCTATAAATTTAAATACAAAAATTAAGAACGGAAAAAACAAGAAAATAACTGGAAAAATAATGCAAATACAAATACTGTACAATAAAAAACAAAGTCAGACCTAGTAATAGAAAATAATAAATAAAAATAAATGTACTAGTTAATACTTTAAATAAACATTGTAGTAATTGATGAAAGAAGTAACTATAAACTAAGGCAAGACTATGAGTTACTTCTATTACTAGGTCTGACTTTGTTTTTTATTGTATTTGTATTATTTTATCGTTATTATCTTTTGTATTTAAATTTATGTATTCTATTTAATGGAACGCCAATGTTCTTTTACTATCGTTAAGCCTGAGGAGGTCCTATAGCAGGTGTGGCCAAACTTTTATCCCTTAGGGCTACTTTTTTGGTAAAATATAGACTGCGGGCGACTATGGGCAAACAATTTTAGGATTTTTATATGCGCATGCGTTAGCATTCATTTGCATTGTTCATCGGAATAAATACAAACAGTATGGGTACGTTGCACAGACAGTCTATTATTGTAAGAATAAATTATCGAATTAAGATTTTTAAACATTAATTTAAGTGAAAGCAAATTGTTCAACTTTAGCTTCGCGGGCTACTTTCAAAACATTTGCGGTCGACCGGTCGACCGCGGTCTACGTGTTGGCCATCCCTGGCCTATAGAGTAGGCCGAAAACGTTAGTTTTTCAATAAAAATCTCGGCAAAAAAAAGTGTAGTGTGATAAGTTAAGCATGTAACTTTATTTTAATATTTCAAAACCTTTCTTTTTTTGTTAAATACTCTTCTAATTCAATAAAGTTTTTTAAAAATATATAGTCTTTATTATAATCGATTTTGGATGTCAGAAAAGCGATATACTAAATTACATCTAATTATGAACTAAAAGATAAAATAGTTTATATTACTCCTAATATAAAATAAATAGCTTAGAAATAAAAGAATTAATACTATAACATGTAATAGTAATACATTTTTAATCGTATTAAATAGTAAGCATAAAAACATTTCTTTAAGAAAATTTGCATTCATTTAAAAATATGCTCTGGTGAAATTTCTCATGTTAATGTGCATAAATTTGAGCTTTTATTATTGTGGATAACATTTTGAATAAAGTCATTCCATCAAGTTTCCAGTCAATATTTTTCCTAACAAGTGTAAAATTAAGCGATAAAAGTAAAATATCATTATGGAGAACCCCCGTGAACTTTGACCTATCGACCCTAAAGTTTTGCCAGAACTTCACTGATAACAATCAAAGCTTAACCCTCTATAACTCAAAAACATATATATTAATTATTGTAACAAATTTAGGCAGAGTTTAGGAAAATAATAAACACATAATTAAAAAAAATTTTTTGTTTTTATTTTGGAGCAAAAAATACAAAATTGGGAGTGAAGCTTACAGGTAACATTAAGCAATAATTTCAAAAAAATTCTAATTATGCATGATGGTTTATGAAAGGTGGAAATTCCTGAAGCAGTTTTTATTTTTAGTGTAGCATAGAGCCACGCCACATTTCTCACATACAGTGTGAGTAAATCCCAAGCATTTTGGGAATTTGCAACGGATTTTTTTATCAGCCCATTGAGGCCAGTGTCCAATTTGGTCTTGACGAACGGCCTGTGGAGGCACATGCTGAGCAGGTCCTCTATGTTTCTTTGCTAAGATCTCACCTTGTAGAGATTGCCGTGTCGAAAAACTAGATTTCGTCCCCATTTTACATAGTGTCTCTGCAACCTCCAGACGGAAATTTGCTGAAGCCATGATGGTCTTCTGAGAAATATTTTTGTATTTGTACACTTTTTTATAAAGCAGCCATGCGTTGGCCATCGTGAGGTCCAAGTAATGATAGAATATGCGCATGTGCCAACATTTGCTCCGTATTCGAATCTTATATATGCCCATAATGCTGTCGATAAGATCTACGCCACCCATAAAACGATTATACTCGCCAATTACATTAGGTCGTTTGATGTTTACATAGCTCGAGTTCTTTTTGTCATATCTCTGGACTTCAGTTTCAGGTTTTTGGCCAGCAAATGTGGAAGCCAAGGTGACAATTTTATTGTCCTTCCATGCGACTGTTGACACATCGATGCTGGCTACGTATTCTTCTGAATATCCTCGTTCTTTCTTCATGATCAACTTCTCTGATGACAGTTTGCAATTGGGAATCCTATTCCTTCTAATAGTACCAAGACTGAGGATTCCTTCTTTGGCTAAATATTCTAGGAGACGCAGAGAAGTAAAATAGTTGTCAAAGTACAGCCTAAAATTTTGGTGCCTAGGGATCATACGTGACAATCTCATTACAACATTGGATGAGGCTCCCAAATCTGGTTCTCCTTGAATAACAATATTCTCTTTGCCTGTTTCAACCTCTGTCTTATAGGCAAACCCAGAAACGCCACTCAAGACATAGATTTTGTACCCCCATTTGTGCGGTTTCTTGGAGTTGTATCTTTTCAGCAAATTTCGGGCTTTGGTGGAGCACATTTGCTCATCCACACAAAGGTTCTTTTCTAGTGAAACTTTGCTGAATGTTGCGTTCAAGGCATCAATAACTGGTCTGATTTTGAAAATCCTGTCAGCATTGGGGTCAGTCCGAGGAAGAAATTTGCTATTATCATTGAAATGCAGAAACTGTCTAATCTTTTCAAATTTGTTCAAAGCCATTGTTTGTTGAATAAGTGGTGTTCCAAAGACGGGTCTCCAGTGGTTGGTAACTCTGGGCAGTTGAATTAGTGACATGAGGTACACCAGACCAATGAATTGCCGGATTTCCGTTTCAGATACACGAAAAGTGTTATTGGGATCCCTTTGTACCAGGTAAAGGTTAGTCTCATCCGATATTCTCTTGATAAGTTCTGGTGGAAACAGGTAAAGAAAAAAACTGGACAGGACTTTCAAGGTCTAAGATGTTAGAATCTAGTGATTCATTGCCGATAAATGCCAGCTGCTGTGCATTCAATTCAAGGTTTTTCTTTTTCCAGGGCAAGTTTAGTTTTCCGGGTTTCTGTCGTTTTGCTATGGGAACTGAAGGATCTGCAGCACTTGAAGTTGAAGGGAGCGGTCCTACGTCAGGAGAAAGATCAATGTGGTCATCCTCTAGATTTTCCATTATATCCTCCATATCAATTTCATCTATCAGAGTTTCCTCAGCTAACTCTCCAAGCTCGGGGTCAAAATCGGGGTTGGCGAGGCTGTCGTCATCAAAATCCAGGCCATCTTCACTCTCAAAATCATCACGGAGTTCAGAAATAATATCGTCTTCACGAAGGCAATGTTTGTGAGCCATCCTGAAACACGAAAATAGCCATGGTGACTAACTACACTCTTCATATAAGACAGCTACCCTTTTCACATGATGTAGCTCACAAGATACAAACATTAAATACCAGATTATCCAATAAAAAACTATAAAATTCTCGAAGATAACATTAGATAACAAAATTCAATTATTTACCTTTAAGAATTTCACATAAACAAACACCAGCAGCTTCTAAAACTATTATTTTCAGATTTTTATATTCGCGATATGCACCGACTTGTTCAAATGTTCAAATCAGTAATGAAAAATTCAAAATTATGACAAGTAACGCCATCTAAATTTTAGATTTTAAACTAATATTGTAACTTAGAGTGTAGACAACAGAATACAGTGCATGAAAACAAATGTAAAAATTCCCGTTAAAAATTAGAAAGGCGAATTGGGTTTGTTGCCTGTAGTCTATCAAATGTTATAGAGGGTTAAGTTTAAAATTAGCGCACTCTAGACCCGGTAGTTTTCCCCTTGGAGCTTCTGCAGTGCCTGTTGAAGAAGAGAAGGAAATACAGGTTTTTTGGCAATTTTCGCACTTTTCAATTGCTTATATTTTGGCAACCCCTTTATAGAAGAATCTAAAATTTTTGCACACTACTTAAGAAAACAATTTTATTTTGAACAAGATATTTAGACTTACTATACGCGTTTGGGAGCGGAGAAATTGACCTATAAAAATCGGCAACTCTGATTCCTAAATGTATAGTCAGTGACGATTTAACTGTCTTTCAATAAAACATGAAATAAATTTTTTAATAAATTAGGTATACTTTAATTTTGCAAAAAATGGATACTCGTACTACTCATTAAAAATTCCGATGCAAACCAGAAGTCATGTTATTTCAATTCAAAATTTTCCCCCCTGTAAGGTGTTAGATTTTCGGCACGACTCTATTGTTAAAGGGAAAGTATGATGTACTGTACATGGGACATGGGCACTACAATACTAAATTGAGGTAAAGAAACATATATTTTAGATTAAATAAATTAATAAATATGATTAAAACTTGCAGCCCGGCATTGTGACGATATCAAAATAAAATAATTGCTCGTTTTCAGATAGGGATGGGTTTTATAAAAAATTGTAAATGCCAATAACGAGGAAAATCGTCAGTAAGTCCCACCATATTCGAGATATGACACTATCCCCTTTATCTCCCCATACCTCCTGCAAAATTTCTGAAATTTTCGACAAAAGGCACAGGAGTTATTAAGTTTCAAAGAGGGTAAACAAAATCGTGCCACACACAAACACACACGCACATTAACATCCATACGTACAGAAAAAAATTTTCGAATATTTTTGCCTTTCTCGACGTTTCGAGGTCCCGAGTCCAAAAATATAAAAATCTGGGATGGATCATTTTTTTAGTTTTTACTTCTCTTGCTGTTTTATATAGGCCTATATATAAAGTACTGTATGCATATATATATGCATTTATTATAGGTTGTGTCTGCAATCGGTTTAATTACTGTCATAGCCATTTGGTCTATCTCCGAATTTCATCCGTCTTCAAAATATTTTTGTAAGTGTTTTTAAATAAAATTTATTGCTATTTATAATATAGTTTACTTTCTTCATCTTAAGTTATCGAAAATTTTAATCTCATGTAAATGAAATAGTAAAGAGATAATTGTTATGATTTTAGTTATTGCGGTGCACGCTTCATCTTTAACATTCTGTTTAATATTCCTTCTACTCAGTTTGCTTCAGGTGTACGCCGTGATTAAGGTAAGTGGAATATTTCAAAGTAAAGTATAAATAATATAAACTTTAAGATATTTTAATAATTTTCCAGAAAAAACGTTTGGCCTTAATACCATGGATGATTTGGTTGATGATTTCAATGCTCTCTCAACTTGCCGCAATTATTGGCTTTTTTGTAGTGGCTTTGCATTTATACAGCAGTACCTACAGAATTTTGTATGGAGTGATTACGGTGAGAATTTTGATTGTTAATTGTTACGTTTAACATTTACTTTGAATTTTAAAAACTTTTATTTATTATTTAATAGAAAAGTGACAATAATGGAAAAGTTAATACAGTACTCTCTTTTAATACTCAAATCTATATATATAAAAACGAATGTATGACTGTCTGTCCTTCATGCATTACTACACCATTTATCCGATTGCCACGAAACTTTGGGAAGTTGTTTAATACACTCCCGCGAAGGTTTCTGGCATAGTACATTTATCCTACGATAGGTGGCGCGCGTGTATACGAGCATTTCATCGTTGCATTTCAGCGCGATTAAGAGTTGAAAGTTGAAATTTGGTACACAGTTAGGATACGTCACGAGAACGCACACTAAGAAGGGATTTTTCGAAATTCCCCCCGCGAGGAAGAGAGACAGGATTAAGGCTTCAACAATGGAAGTGTTAAGAGAAAGCAACGTGCAAGATTTACAGGTGCAGATGCGGGTTTTTGCGTTTTTGCGGGAAATCGAACATATTTTTAGACCCATCTAAAATTTTCTAATTAGTCTGGAAACGGAACCTAATTCTTGCATTCTGTGAAAACGGGTAAGATTGGCTGTAATGTAATAATCTTAATCTTCGCTATTGTTACTTTTTGCCCTAGCAACGCCGGGCTTATCTGCTAGTAAATTTATAAAAATTATTATTTTAAAAATTAAAATTTTAAAATGTAATCACTAGTAAATTAAATTCAGTTTTGATGATTGAAGCAAAAGATGGTCAACTTGCTTTTTTGTTTGGCTTTTAACATTTTCTGTTCTATGGATACTAAGATAATGTTTTTCTGCGACCATCAGGACAAAAAAATGGTCTATATATGGGTTTGATCAGGCCCAAAATGGAAATGGTTGACGGATAACAGCCGGTGTCTGATATATCCAGAAAAGACCAGCGAAGAAATGTTCCCGAAGCTCCCGATCCAAACTTGATCTCTCTCCGAGAGCGGGAAAGTTTGAGTTTGGATCAGGAACTAGCCGCACGGAGGGGCCCTAAATCGAGTCCGGCGACGATTGCCTGGATTTTCCGCGAGTGCTGTCGATCCGGACACTTCAACTGGGAATGACGCGAATCTGCATTGTGACGCAACACTTGGGCGATCTGCCTAGGGGAATGCCTTCCGGGAGGTCTTTTTAAGGGTAACTGGCGTTACAGACGTGGAGAAACTCGGAAAACTCCACGTGGCTAACCCGTCTTGGCGAGGCTCAAACCCACACCAAATTCCCAGTGTTTAGGGATCGGAACCGCTTGGCTACTGATGGACTTCAAGTGAGTATAAGGGGGCTATCCGCTTAGGATTCTGCATTGTGTGATGGCCGCTGAACTTAGTTAAAGTAACTGCAATTATCCCCGTGGATCTTTAGTTTGTCGAGGTACGGGAGAGGTCATCCCACCTAATATTTATATATAAAAGGAAACTGTCTAGGAAGTCCGTGTTAGCTTTTCTTATTAATGGAAAATTTATCTTATTATTTCTAGGATTAAATATAAAATTTTAAATTTCTGATTAGATAATTTTACTACAATATATATTGCAGCTCCTTCTTATTTGTGCAGCTATACTTCTGGCTACTCTAGGATTACATGTAAGTTGTTGCAACGCACGTAACATATACATTTTTACATTTATAAAATTTATTCACAAATAAATATACTAATATATTGATAGCTAGACACCAACGAAATGCCGAAATTCCATCGTGCTAGTTTAAGGCTAATTACTAAATAAATCAGTAGGTCTGGATAGCGTAAATGGCAACGCATTTACACGATAAGCAAGAGTTATGGTTCGAGTCCCGCTCGGGGCCGATTTTTTCTCCCAGCGGTTCTAAATTATTTAAATTAATTTATTAATGTTAATACGAGATGGCGCCTAACGTTTACCTCTAGAGCCAAATTGGTTATGTAATTAGCCGTAAGCTAGCCCGATGGAATTTCGGACATTTTGTTGATGTCTAGCTATATTATGTATCGAGTCTAGCGATGTTTGTAAATGTACTAATTTAATAATATAAATATATGAATATTTGATATTTTATATATAATTTTCAGATTGTATGTTTCCTTGTGGTTATAACATATTATCGATCATTGGAAGTGCCTCAACGTACTGAAGAATAAATAGAAAAGTTGTGAATTTGTAACTTTACAGTAACATTGTGAAAAAAATCTGTAAATTTATTTGTTAATATAAAATATTTTATAGTTTTTTCTGTGAATATTTTTATATGTCGATGCAATAGTCATTTTCAAAAAATTATGTAAACATTTTTTAAGTCACTGTATGTATATTATCATACGCAAGCACACACAAAAACCCACCCATACGTGGATATTTATAAAAATAATATGTATATTTAAAAAGTTTTTTTATTAATTAGCACTACTTAATGATGTATCTTTTCTTTGTTCATGAGTAAGGCTGACTTCCTAGGCGGCCGTCTATGCAGTGCCGTAACTAGCCATTCCTGTGTCCTGTGCGAGAATTTGCTTTTAGATCCCTTAATTAATTATGTTTGGGAAAATAATAAAACAAATACCTGCATTTTGGGCCCCCTTTCCAAGTGGGCCCTGTGCGGGTGCACCTGTTGCACCTGCTTAGTTACGGCACTGCGTCTAGGTTTACCTAATGTTAAAACTAGTCCTGATCACAGATATAGATAATGAATTACAGCAAACATATAACAGTTATATTTCTAGAAACACATAAATGATGAAAGCTTTTTAAGAATGCTAAAATTAATCAATAAAATTATTAAAACCAAACAAATACATAGAACTATGCCCGACGAAAATTTGGCTTCATTTCTAGGAAGAATATACAGTATTTACAATATTAAATTTTTGTTAAATTGAATATTTTCTACATATTAGTTAATAATTTTTCTCGATTTTTACTTAATATATGTGAATAGTTAAATTCTATTGTAGTTCTTATAAGAAATATTATAGTTCTGTAAATATTTTCACAGGACTGCAGTGGCGTACCGTGACATTTGATGATAGGGAAGTTGTGTTTCTGTAAGAAGCCGACTTCCAGGAGCAATCAGTTAATTCTCTAAATATATTTTTAATAGATTATCTGACGTACTTAATAAATAAACAAGTTCAATATAATTACCTCTGTTATTAGATCCAACAGATTCCCTATGCCTTCTAAATGCCAATTCTTGGTTTGATAAAAACATATAACATCTATTAATTTAGATATAATATAGTATATCTATCAGCCGTAATTATTTCGTTATATTTTTCAATATTTATTTTATATTATTTACTAATGTTAAATTCTATTCCACTTCGATTTCCAAATTGCTTCAAATACGAAAGAATCGACNGGCTACTCAAATATTTTACGTTTTTGATACTAAATTAACTTCTGAAGTATAATTTTTTATTGTTTTTATATTTTTCAATATATTTATTTTGTTTGTACAAAATAAAAAAATAATTTTTAACGATACAATAGTCTTCGTTAGGCTTAACATCGACGAAAATTCAACGCCAAGCGACACGCAACGGAGAAAAATTTCAACATGGAATAAATTAATATATTTTTTCGTACATAATTGGTTATCCGAAAAATAAGTTATCCGAACAACCCCAGTCCCCAATTGATTCGGATAAACGACGCTCTACTGTATAAAGATATGACTATTTGATATTTTATATATAATTTTCAGATTGTTTGTTTCCTTGTGGTTATAACATATTATCGATCATTGGAAGTGCCTCAACGAACTGAAGACGAAATGCAAATCTTGTGAATTTGTAACTTTACAGTAACATTAAAAAGATTTTTATTAATTAACACTACTTAATGATGTATCTTTTTTTTTGTTCATGAGTAAGGCTGATGTCCCTTGGCGGTCGTCTAGGTTCGCCTAATGTTAAAACTAGCCCTGATTACAGATATAGGTAACGAATTACAGCAAACATATAACATTTATATTTCTAGAAAAACATAAGTGATGAAAGATATTTAAGAATGCTAAAATTAATCAATAAAATTATTAAAATCAAACAAATACATAGAGTTATGTCCGACAAAAACTTGGTTTCATTTCTGTGAAGAATATATTTACAATATTAAATTTAAATTTTTGTTAAATCGAATATTTTCTACATATTACATAATAATTTTTTTCGATATTTATTTAATATATGTGAATAGTTAAATTCTATTGTAATTCTTATAAGAAATATTACAGTACTACCTTTTTAGAACACAGCTGGTGTTATTGTTATATTGACCAATTAAAAATGTCCGTGCTTACTCGCAATAGAAGTGTTTCCTGTCTCAAAGCTGGTTTATCATGAATAATTTTTACATTAGTTAATTTAATTAAGTCCTAATACAACGCTTTTGATCGTAACTGTATAAATTTCACAACCATTTGAAAATAATTGTTTGAATATTAATTGTAAAAAATTCTAAGATGCTTGATTACTTTTTTAAGAATGCAAAAAGTAAGATCCTAAAATTGAACAAGGTCTACAAATTTCAACTAATAAAAAATTGTTTGGACTTTGAGATGTGATTTTTACTAACTATGGATGTGTAAGTTTGCCGACGTTGAGGGGGAATAAAGTCTATCTCGCGTCAGAATGAGCCTAAGGGAAACCGCGTATGTGGGCGGTGGCGAAGGAGGCAAATGATGTACAAGTGTTTTACAAGATAAAATCCGTTTATTTGTTCGAATTCATGCTTACATCGATAATGGACAATTCCAAAATCTCGGTGCTCCTGGGAACGGCGAATGTTCGCGTGATCGGTCGCAGTTCGGGCGGACGAGAAGGATATCTGGACGAAGCAGAAGTTCGTTGTTACGTTGCGGCGTCCTCGGTGATCGGCGGATGCACAACACAATCTAAATCACCACTGTAGGCTTAATCCGGAGGAGACTCTCTTTCGACCTTGAAGTTCCGATTTTTATAGTTTTCCCCCACTGTTCGCATTTCGGATTGGTCCCTCGTCCCATTCCTCGCTTCCCGATTGGTTTCTCCTTTGTCTCCAGGTGCAAGACGAAACTTTTTCGGGTCGCGGGAAAGGTCCGATTCGAGGTGTCCATCTGATACCTCTTTGTCGACTCTGCTCGGTGACTGTTTATAAAATAATAACACCTGCACTCATAACTCAGGCCATTATTTACCATTTTCTGACGTCATTTCAGAGTTTAACGATCATTTTTCATCTATCAAAAATTCCCTTGTTTTTCTTCGAAAAGGTTTATCTCGACCAACATTTTTTAGACACACGAGTCAAAGATCTACCTGTTTATGAGCGCTCGTGTTAGAGTTTGTCTTCCGCTAAGACCTTGACAGATAGTTTGACACATACTCGAACCGTTCCGAGTCTCGTTGTTTACATTTTGTGTCGCGCAAGAATTTCACGGTTTACTCGAGTTCGAACCTCGTCTGGGAACCCACAGATGCAATTAAAATCGATCTCTCAAATGTTTCCATCACGTAACGTTTTGATACAAAGGCTTTACAAAATCTTGTCAAAAATTCGGAAGTTCGTATGTAGTCCGGGGCTCCTGTCCTTAAGCTTTCCACATATGATCTCAGCTTTCATCTACATAACTCCGTTCTTAACTAAAATTAAGGAAAGAAGGACAACAGTGGGAAAAAATAAGTCTACAAGTTTTTTTCAAATTGCTCAGTTAATTTAAGAAAAGACATATGGCATTCTTTATAATATTGCTTTAGTAGTGTTCTGTGGATGTAAAGGCCACGAGGATTATCTGTTAATTTTCACTTTTGCAACTTTTCTTATGATATTCCGTAATTTTTTAAGATAATATGAAATCTACTTAGGCTATATGTGGATATGTCGATTTTTCGGTATTGTAAAAACTTATTTATTACGGATATTGATATATCATATATTTTATCAGTTAATTTTAGCTTCAATTTAAATATTATTACATATTATGAATTAACACATTGGCTAGGGCCACATTAATATTTTCAAAAATAGAAGAAAATATATACGTTTCTATTACGTGCTTTCACACACTTCAGGAGCAAAACTGGCCAATGTGTTATATATTATTATTATTTTACTGTGGGAATGGTTTATAAATCATTTTTGCATATTATGATGAATGAGTAGCTTCTCAAAGTGTCGACTTCATCTGGAAAAAGACAGTTTTGTTCCTGAGGTGTGTGAAAGGACGTAATGAAGACGTTTATAATTTCTACTTTTTTAAATATTATATTTTATGTTTTACTTAAGCTATAAGTTTTTACAATTAGCAAATTCCTCTAATTCTTCGGGTGGTCGAGGCGGTTAAAAACATCAATCTGCACCTCTGGAGGGTTCAAATCTGAGTGAACAACTATAGGAATTTTTGAGACGAGTCTACTCCAGATATATCGAGCCTTCTCCCTCACCTGTTGGCCACTCCAATCTGAGCCTGGTCGAACCCGCGGCGACTATGATTAAAAAGCCCTTTTAGTGTCTAGAGGGTAGAGACAAAAAATCTCTAATTAGTTCTTGCCGTATTCTTTCAGCAAATTCTTGAAATTCAAATTATCTGTAATAAAAAGACGACGATTTTCAAAATATAAAAAAACAACGAATTTTTAAAAAAATGAAGTTTAAAATTTCATGAATTTGGATACGATCATATTCATTAGTATAAGCTGCTTCATTCTACTTTATATAATTTCACTATATATTTTGACAAATTCAAATTTTGTATTATAAATATAAAAATAATTTTGATGGTTAGTAGTCTATATAATACACAAATTTATTACAATAAATAACAAGCATTCTCATCGAGCAATTTTCAATATTTTAAATGGAAAACCACGTGATGTAAAGTCAAATCAAACAGAAATAGTCCCATAAAGACTCAAATTTTCTTTGAAATTGAAAAAAGAATTAAAGCCTAATTTTGATATTAGCAAATTAATTAAAATTGAAGTTTTTCTAGAATTTCCTGTACGCCTACATGTTTAATTAACTTATTATATCTATATTTTTTTTATAATATGAAATGTTAATTAAACAATAATTTGTAATTTTTGGGCTTACTAGAATATATATATTAATAATTTTATTAATAAATTATTTTAAAATATTTGCAAATCGTTACAAACGTTTAATTAACGTTTTAAATATTTTAATATTTAATCTAAATGAAATGATTAATCTTCCGGTATCAACGCGGAACTCTTCCTTTTATCAAAGCATTTATATTGTTTTATATTACAAACTTCATTTTATTTGTTCTCTATGGAAAAATTACTATTATTTTTATTCTGTACAAATGTAATGTCTTGGAATTTCGAAACCAAGACTGCGATTACATTTAAAGGTCATCCTGGTTCTTATTTCGGATTTTCTGTGGCCATACACAAAAACAATCAAGGAATTATGTAAGTAAAATCACTTTAATATTATTATTAGTTCATATTACGGATTTTAATATTTAAATTTTTTCAATGATCCAGACCTTTAATTACCGCGACGAAAGCCAACTCAACGGGTGCGTTGTACAGGTGTGATATAAATAGTAGAAAATGTGAAAACGTTGTTTTAAATCATGGTAAATTTTTAATGTCTAGATTAAAAATTAAACTATTTTTACAACAAAGTTTTGTATATTCTCCAACAGAGATGAAAATCAATGAAATAAAGAAAAATATGTGGCTCGGTGTAAGTTTGGATGTACAAAAGAAGGAAAACGGACATATTGTAGTAAGTTATTCGTAATAAGCTTATCATTTTATATACAATTAAAGCTGCTGATAGGCAATATATAAATTTTTAGAAGTTTCAGATATTTTTTTGCTAGAAATTAGTAAATAAGAAATTCAAAAGGAAGTAGAGGAATAAATTCCTAATTATTGTTATCTAATTTCTGTACGAAATCAAAAGTGATAATATCACTTTCATTCTAGCTATTGTAAAATCTAAAAATAAGAATGTTGTACGCAGAAGAATCTTTGGTTTTTAATTAGTTACATAACATATTCCATGCCAGTAAATTTCTCATTTCGTCATCCAATTTACTTGGATAATTCAATAGATACAGCAAATATTGTAGTGTATTTATGATCTGTCTCGAACTCTTTTATTATTACACGGTTGTTGTACACTTTCAAACATTAACTCTATCTTGCATCTGTACTTTCTTTCCTTCTGTACTTTCGAATGATTTTAAGCTTAGTTCTTCTTCAGCTAGCATTTTTAGTTGAAGCTTTTGTAATAATGATGTCTGAACATACTGTGATGGCTTCATTCAGTATTCAATATTCAAACGATTTGATCACTTTATAATACTTTATAACAAAATATCAACAATTAATATATCATTCTGAAAATATATATTATAATAACATTAATAAATTAAGAATACTTATAGATGAAAATGTTATCAATAACCAAGCTTAACACTGGTAGCACTATTATGAGTACCTCAAATTTACATTAAGCCCGACAGTTGCCAGGGAAAACGTATGTCTAACACCTAAATAGGAACCATTTTACCATTAAATGTCCACAGTAAGACATCACCGGCAGGCAGATCGCACTCGTATTGCATTGCCGTATCTCATGAAACCAACTAGCTAAATTTACATTAAAAGAGGAATATACGTTACTTCATATCATCCTTTAAATGAGTAATTTAATAACTTCAATTAATTTTACATTATATTATTTAATATTTTCATAATTATTTCTAAATAAAAAAATTTCTTATTTGCATTTTTGTACTTAAATTACTTTTCATATCGTTTAAATGATGCTAATGAAAGTTTGACACTAATAGAAATTTCATACTATTCTATCAGGTATGCGGACATTTATGGAAATTATTTATATTTGTCCGAGATGAGGAAATATACGAACATCATTTACCTTTAGGCACGTGTTACATATTAAATCCAGAGATGACTTTAGTGAAGAGAATTAGTCCGTTTGAACATGAAAGTAGAGTATATTCTATTTACTTTATATCATGAATTTTCATTGGTAAATTAATATATGAATTTTCCATATCTTAAATTCGAGTTAACTATTATATTTTATAGTAAATAATGTGACAAAATTTAATTTTCGTCGTTTTTCAACTGCTGGAGTTGGAATATCAGCTTCTTTTACATACGTAATTAAACTTTAGATAATAATTTTTCTCAGTTAATTTAACATATTCTAAATATTAATATTGTGATTTGTTGTTTCAGGACGAGAATGGTTTACTAATTGGATCATCCGGTTTTAACTATTTTAGAGGCAATTTTTTGATTTTTTTTTCTAATACTGAATGGACGGAAATATGATATCATTTTTCAAACTTCCTTTTTTTTATTAATTTAGGAGCTGTGATAAGATATAAATTTTTAAACAATAATTTTTATGTTAATACTCCTTCTACTTTTGAGTTACATGTTCAAGATTTTAATACTTACATTGGTAAATATTTCTGATAATAATAAAATGATATTAATATCAATTTTGAATGTTTATAATTGAATTATTTTTTAGGTTATTCTGTATCGTCCGGAAAATTCTTTGATGCCTATGGATCCATTTATGTAACAGGAACACCAAGAGAAGGAAAATATAAAGGAAAAGTAATGAATCGATTCATATTTACAGTATAAAAGAAAAATATATAAAAACAAAACAAATCAATACATAATTACAATATGTTATATTTTTTTGACTTGAAATTAATGAAAAAATTCGTCAGGATTAAATATAAAGAATATTTCGTAACAATTTTATATTTTTCTTTAATTAGCGTATGAAATTGTTTTCAATTTATATTTCGATTTAATTAAAAAATTGACATAATTTTAGGTTTACACTTTTGATGAGACTTACGCGATTGATAGGGAATTAGAAGGATTTCAAGTGAGTTGTTATTGTTATTATAATTGCCAAAAATAATGATGATTGATTAATGGCGATTGTATAGATAGGGGAGTATTTTGGGGCAGCCATTTTAAGTGTGGATGTGAATAACGACGGTTTGACTGATTTATTTGTTGGTGCTCCTTTGTATTCTACTAAATCTGGCGGGGACGAAGGAAGGGTCTATATTTATCTTAGTGACGGTAAAGTAAGTTAAATATTTTTATATCGCATTTATGGTTGTTCATAAATGATTCTTCTATGTATAATTGATTAATTTAAGATAAATACAAGGCTAATCCCAAAAGTAATGTCTCCTATTTTTTTAATACAAAGAAACGTTTATTTTTAATAATGTTCATATCATTTTAAAGCTTGAACATTTATCTAATTTTCTACATAATCGCCATTTCGGTCGATGCATTTTTGTATGTGCTGTGGCAATTTTTGTATGCCTATGTCATACTAGCTCGCCGCCATGTCGTGTTAAACCGATTGAAATTCATTGCCAATTGACGGAAGTGTATGGCGAGTCGTGCATAGATGTCAAAAACATCCTCGAGTGGTGTAGGGAGTTTGTAGCTGATCGTACTGAAATTCACGACGAAGAAAGAAGCGGGAGATTATCAATTTCCGACGGGACAATTGTACAGGTTGAGCAAAACATGCGTGAAGATCGGCGAATTACTCTGGATGTCTCTGCATTTTAGTTCTTTGGGTTTCCCGAAGCACCATTCATAGGGTTTTAACGGAAAAGTTGCAATATCGAAAGGTGTGCGCAAGATTTGTCTCGCGACATGACGGCAAGTTAGTATGACATGTGCATACAAAAAAAATGCATCGACCGAAATAGTGATTATGTAGAAAAATAGATAAATGTTCAAGCTTTAAAATGATAGGAATATTATTGAAAATAAATATTTCTTTGTATTTTTAAAAAATAGGAGATCTTACTTTTGGGATTACCCTCGTATATTGATATATTGATCATTATTGCGATTAATCTTTTAATTGATAATTTTTTAAGCATCTACAATACCAATCAAATTTATATGGATCTTCTATTAAAGGAAGCCGGTTTGGCACCAGTTTAGCTCATATTGGCGATATTAATCACGATAAATTTTCAGGTAAGGTTGTGAAAAGTTTTTATGTAATCCTTATGTAACATTTAATATAAAAACAACAAGCAGTTTATTACAGACATATACTATATTTAAATAATTTATAATAATGCCTGAATGCTATCAAAAGCTATCATCGTTTTCAAATATTACTTTAAAAGTATAAATACTTTATGATAATTTAATTTTAAATTTTTTATATCACTATCTAAATTTTATGATAACGATATTTAATTCTACAAAAATATACCGGTATTTGGGAGAGAATTTTTATATACATTTATAATCAACACACGATGTTACAATGTTATGCATAGCCTACATTATAAAAAATATACTACAAGGTTTTCATTATTGAGGGGTTATCAAGAATAGAAAATTTTACAAAGTGATTTTGCAGTTTTATAGATTTTTGTTATGTAAAAATAAAAATAATGAAACATAAAATTCTACGAAATTTATTAAAATGAGTACACATTTAATTATGAATTAAAGTTCGTTGTTCTATGATGTTTAGTCTTAAAACTCTCTCCTCCTCTCTCTCTCTTATGTCACACCCTTTTTACCATGTGCATGGCAATCACCAATCCTGAGTAATTCTTCTTATTCAATTGTTTGTTTTAACAGTTATACACATGCAACCATTTACTGTTAACAGAAAAACGCTTAAATGGTTTATATATATATAAAAATCTTATTTTACTAGAATGAATGACATTTTAGTCTGATGTTTCTGAATATAGGCCTATATAGAGCAAAATTTTATTATACAATATCGATTTCCCCATTTTAGAAAAATGGATACAGTATTTAACCTAGTAAGTACCATTTAGCAGTTCTGGGGATATTTGAAATGTCACGAGCTGGAGAATCACGTCTTAATGATTTGAGAGTCGGAATCATTAATCTAAGAATTAACATATCTATTTGCCATCTGAGAAAAGATGAATCCATGTGCTGTATATTTCCAGCGTAAAACAAGATCCTGTGGTATTATTAAAAACGTGAAACGTAAATACTTCGAATAACAGTAGTATTTTTTCTATTACATTTATTTACGTAAGCATGTTTCCATTTAATAAAATTTTTTAAAGAAATTCAGTCTATATTTTCACTTAAGATTTTTAACGTTAATACAATTTCTTAAATTTGCTAGACTTTCACATAACATCATAAATGATTCTGGATTACCAAACCAACTTTATTACTCTATTACCTGAGTTCGGGTTCGGGTACATATTTCCATTCTTTAAATTATCAAGATGTTTGAGATTATCTCATTGTTTTATATTGGGGAAACTATGCGTTTTTCAGTTTTGCCTGTATATGTTACTGTATGCCATCTCACATTCACGATATTTTGGGATTTTCAACAAAAAGGTCAATATATAATATAATTTAAAACAAAATAAAATGTAAATCTTGTTTGGGATTAGTTGGATAAAGCAACGCAACACATTGGCGAACTGTCAAGTGAGTGTGCCTCCTGGGAGGACTTCTATAAGGAACTCACCCTTATTTATATGTTATACACGCGAAGAAAACTTGGACAACTTCACATGCTAGCCCATTGCGAACCCACTACCAATGTTCAGTGGTATTGCCAATAGGCTGTAGTGGAATCTAAATCTTGATTGCATTTGATGTAAAAAGAACCATCATACTAAAAACTTGTTGCCTAAAACTTCAAATTTTAATCTTATATTGCTATTTTACATAAATCTCAGCTAATTTTGAATAGCATAAAGATTAATATATTTAAAATATGATTTTACTGTTGAATAAGTAAAATATATATATATTTTTTTTTAACTAAAGAATACGAATTTATTGTTTATGTAAAACGCAATGGAAATGCTGCTATTTTTCTCTTGCATGCTTTTATAATAAATTTAACAAAGAAAAATACTTGTTTATATTTAATGAAAGATAAGATTAATCAAGAAACAGTTTTCCTATGCGTATCACTTAGTGTTTATTACAATTTGATATTGCAATAGAAAATTTTAATTATTTTAGTTCTATCAGCTTTAAAGAATACTTGGAACCTTCATTAATCACTGTTTGATAGCGAAATGAATTTATGATTACGGAATAAGCATATTATTGAGAAATGAGCTAATGCAAATATCTCAAGTGCCATAGTAATGTAAAGAATGGAAATACACTGTCATGGCAGATTCGTGAATGAATTGACCAACATGTTGAATTCCTAATGTTCACCATTGCAAACCTGGTAGAATCTATGACGGGGCATAGAAAACAGACGCTCTTAGTCTCTTAGTGACCTTATATGGCAGAAAGATCTAGATTTAAAAATACTAAATATCATTATTATAGAAATAAAAATTAATTTATTAGACAATTATTCATTTCTATTTGTTATTTTGAAAACATTGTAATGATTAAAAACTATGATGATTCATTTATAGATATTGTTTACAGCTACTCCCAAAAATTCTCGAAAACTAAAACTTATAGGAAGGAATTCTCTATGACTAAGTGACAAAGAAATTTGTAAAATTTTATATTTAATCGAAATTAATTTTTATTATCTCCTTTTACGGAAAATAAGAATTAAATGAATTTTTCGGAAATAAAATAAACTTTTGTACTTATTTGAATAAAATTTCTGTGTCTTTTATTCTTATTCTTTCCTGTTTTTGTTTCTTGACATAATTATAAAAAAGCTAAAAGAATCAAATTGGAAAATTTGAAGAATGAAAGAATAAATAATCTTATTCACATCGACAAAATTTCATTGTAATAAAATTTAAAACATGTTTGCAAACCTATAACTTTTTATTGTGTTGTTTTAATCGTATTTTTCATTTAAACTTTATTCACAGTTACTTGAACATATTTATAATATGAAAATGTATATTTATATACTGTGTATAACAATATAATTTAAGATCAACAGTTTAATAATTCTATAATATATTTTAATAAGCAATATTAACATCCATTAACATTTCAGTCATTGAGATGCCCTTTCATCATTAATTAATTCATTAGACTATTTTAAACAATAATTGAAGAATTTACTTTTAGTTTGTTTTCGATAACCGTCGTTACTTTAATATGGAAAAATTTCATTCTNTAATAAAACAATATTATTAATCTGTATTTGCTTTTTATTTTATTTTATTTGTAATTTATTCTAACTTCGTATAAATTTTGACAGGAACAAAGACAAATCAAATTTTAAAAAGAATCGACAAGCAAAGAATATTATGAACCCATATATTAGATAGTAATTTCTTATTAGGCTGCAATTTGAAAAATTGTAGGCGTATGAATTCTTACTGTTGTCTGTCCGCCCGTCTGCCATTCCTTATTCTCGAGAATAGAATTGGATAGATGGAAATTATGTTATTTCAATTCAAATATTTTCCTTTGAAAGGTGTTAGATATATTTTTGTCACGACTCTATTATTAAAAGAAAAGTACAATATGCAGGAGCAAGCCACTACTAATTTGAGGTGGAGAGCATATATTTTAAATTAAATTAAAAATATGATAAAAAATTGCAGTCCGGCTTAGTGATGTTTGCAAACCTATAACTTTTTATTGTGTTGTTTTAATCGTATTTTTCATTTAAACTTTATTCACAGTTACTTGAACATATTTATAATATGAAAATGTATATTTATATACTGTGTATAACAATATAATTTAAGATCAACAGTTTAATAATTCTATAATATATTTTAATAAGCAATATTAACATCCATTAACATTTCAGTCATTGAGATGCCCTTTCATCATTAATTAATTCATTAGACTATTTTAAACAATAATTGAAGAATTTACTTTTAGTTTGTTTTCGATAACCGTCGTTACTTTAATATGGAAAAATTTCATTCTATTTGTGTGTTTAATTGATTTGTACATAAATAAAACTTTTACAATAATTCTATTACTTTCAATTAAAGAGGCATAGAGACACATTTATGTTTAATTATGTATGTGAGGAGGCATCCATGTTTAACAAAATAACAGAATAATTTTTTGATCTTGTTATCTTGTAAACTGGATAAAAAAATATATAATTCTATCATTTTTACAATAAATAATTCTTGAAATATCAATGCACAAAAATTGCAGTAGACAATATCGATGATGATAAATTTTGCAGATATTGCCGTTGGGGCACCATACGAATTAGAAAGAGGAGCAATATATATTTACCACGGTTCTTCCAATGGAATTAAATCCGAATTTGTTCAGGTAAAATATTTATGAAACGATTACATTCTTCAATATGAAATATAAATACTTATGCTATTATTATTTATTATTTAGAGAATTTTTGCGGCCGACGTAGATCGACATTTAATGGGTTTCGGTATATCTATATCGAAACCGTATGACGTAGATTTTAATAATTATCCAGGTAATGCGAATTTTAACTTACAAATATTTCCTCGCAAATTAAATTTTGACCGAGATTCTTTTTGTTCTCTAGACATTGTCGTTGGGTCATATTTATCGGACGATGCTGTCCTTTTAAGGTAATTTTAAAAAATTGATTAAAAATTAAATGTCTTGCACGATTCACAAGAATATGAATAATGACTAATAATAATCAAATATATAGAACTCGTCCCATTGTTCGGATATTTCCTCACATGGAATTTCAACCCCGCCAAATATATCCTAATAATTCAACCTGCAACCTCACCACGGGACTTTGTTTCAAAGCCATATTGTGTTTGAGATACGAAGGCTCTTTTGTGCCTGCCACACTCGGTAAGTATAAATTATATAATTTAACGATATTTACCGAAATACTGTTTGATAGTAATCTGAAATTAATTATTTTTTCTAGATTTTACTGTGGAACTACGCGCATTTCGAATAAAAAATGAACTCCAGCCCAAAGAATACTTTATAGATCAGAATTTACCGGTTTCGATGAAACGTGATAAAATTACAGCTAGATACAACGAAAATGAATGTCATATATACGAAGTTTATATCCGCGTATGTAATACATTTTATAAACAAATCATAATTTTAAACCATTTTTTCTTAAGCATATTCAATTAGATCAGTGTTTCTCAACCTCTAACAAATCGTCGCCCCTTCAATAAAACCGTTACGTAGTATCTCCCCCTTCACTACAAAATTCCGATGCCGAGGGACAAGGCTAACGCCAAATTCGTACTGCATTGAATAGACTAGTGACTAGTATAATATTATTTGTTTAATTATTGTACGATATAACGAATAAAATATCTAATTATTCTTAATGTAATGTTTTACTATATCGCCCAGAAAATTGTTTTTCTCCCCCAAAATATAAATTGTTGCTAATCGCCCCCTGAACACGAAAAAACACCCACATGGGGGCGATATCGCCCCCGTTGAGAAACATTGAATTAGATAGTAGAAATAGTGACTATCTGGTCTCCATCGACTTCCGAGGAATCAATCAATTTATCTAGAAGGTTGATAGATTGCTAGAGAATATAAACAAATTTATATTTTATGTGTAAAAATATGATAAAAATAACATAAAATAATAATTGATATATTTTTAATTTTGAATGAAGTAGAGTTTTGTTTTTTGATTTGGGTCCTATGTTTAATAAAACAATATTATTAATCTGTATTTGCTTTTTATTTTATTTTATTTGTAATTTATTCTAACTTCGTATAAATTTTGACAGGAACAAAGACAAATCAAATTTTAAAAAGAATCGACAAGCAAAGAATATTATGAACCCATATATTAGATAGTAATTTCTTATTAGGCTGCAATTTGAAAAATTGTAGGCGTATGAATTCTTACTGTTGTCTGTCCGCCCGTCTGCCATTCCTTATTCTCGAGAATAGAATTGGATAGATGGAAATTATGTTATTTCAATTCAAATATTTTCCTTTGAAAGGTGTTAGATATATTTTTGTCACGACTCTATTATTAAAAGAAAAGTACAATATGCAGGAGCAAGCCACTACTAATTTGAGGTGGAGAGCATATATTATAAATTAAATTAAAAATATGATAAAAAAATTGCAGTCCGGCTTAGTGACGATGTCACAATAAATAATTGCTCGTTTCTATTAAAAATGTTTCAGAAAGTTAATAAATTATAAAAAATTTTCTAAAATATTAATACATATTTTAATTTAGTAAATTCTTCATTTGAGATGTTAATTGATAGAGTAACGGAAGAAGACAGTATTCGTTTTTACACGTTAACTTTATTTATATGTTAAATAATTTAATGTTAAAATGTTAAATGAATTATTTAACATAAATTTTAATGTTTACAGGACGATTCCGACGATCGAATAACACCGATACAAATAAATGTTGATGTATATTTAACTCATAACACAACGAAAGAAACACAATTTTGTAAAGATTGTCCCATTTTAGATCCGACATTTCCTCATTCTAAGAGCAAAGTGGTAAGTCTGAATTCTTTGAAAATTTTTTCTTCTAATTCTTAGTTAATTAGGATAATTCATGATTATTTACAGATAACATTTCTTACTGGCTGCGCTCGTGAAGATAAATGCTTTTCCGATCTCACACTGGAGGCCCATGTATTTGGTCTGAGGTAAATAAATCTAATTTTAAGAATATCGTCAATAATAAGGGTACTTTTTGAAAAATATATTTATTGAGAAACCATTTTTAATTCTATTTTTGCAAAAACATAAATTGTCAGCTTAAAAATAATTTTATATTATAAAATGAATACAGGATGCAATTATATCAGTATATATTACAAATAGTTGAAAAGTGGGAGAAAAATATTTAAAGATAACTTCTTAACGTATTTTAGATGTGACTTCTTAATTATATTTTAGATCTTAAGTAAATATTTTTAACATTTGTTATTGATCACAAATATTCGCCTGAGAATTTTCTGGGTTTTCCTGACGTGTTAAACACGTAAAAAGAAGCCAGGTTCTCATAGAAAGTTCTTCCGAGATGCACTTCCTTTTCCTCTCTTTAGCTGATCGTCTTCGTGTTACATTGTTCTATTTCATCAAACCAAACTAAATAACTTTTTCTATTGATTGCTCAGTTTCATATTTTATTTCTTAAAAGGCCTATACGTATATTACTTGATAGTCATGCTTTCTAAGTTTCCTCTTTTTAAAATTAACGAATATTAATTCTTTAATTTTAAAAGGCTTTAATTAACCTTCCAAACTTGAGTTCGAAACGTTCTAAATTAAGAGTATTTACCAATCACGCGTTGACAGAAGACAACTGGAAGGAATATGAAACACTTTTCAACAGATATTGAAAAATGACACACTTTCCATACTGTTTTCATATAGACAGTGCAATAACAATGGGATCGAAATTTATTGCTCGCTCATCCTATTAACACATTTAGAGGGAATTACATTTATAAATGCGAGAATCAAATTATATTACTGTACAAAATACTTGAAAACATAAAAATCATGTAAGTGAAAAAGTAGTGGTTTGTTCAGATGAGTAATATTTACAGCATTTGAATCCAAAATAAAATTATTTTGCGAGAGATAATGCAACACGAGAACAAACTGCCAAAAGATAGCATCCGAAAAGTTTCGAAAGAAGGAAGTTGCGGATAGCGAATGTTAGACACGTGAAAGAACCCTATTCTAGCCCATAAATCATAGTACCAACTACCGATGTTTAGTGATGTTATTCACTCTGCCACAGGTGGACCGCAATTTAATTAACATTTAACACGTTTTTGTATCCTATTGCTTTTTACATAAAATTTCTTAGAGAAAATAAATGTTTATGTCTACGAGAAAATAACACTTTATAAACATTTCAAAGCCTTTATTATTAACATTGTTTTTTTATCTTAAAATGATTCTTAATGCATAATTATTCCGCGATTCTAAATAAATGCATTTAACTTTCAAACAATAAAAATCACCGACGCTTTTAAAATATCAGATAATTAAAGGTATTAGAGTTACTTATCCGATTCATTGAAGTCAATATAGTATATATTTAAAGTGTCTAATATAGAAATTCAATAGATTTTAAATTACAAACATTGTTTAGAAATACTATGATATTAAATCACAATAAAGTAAATTATGTGCTATAATTAGTCGAAATATTTAAATCAAAATTCAAATTTTTTTAATCTATATATATAAAAATGAATGTATGTCTGTGTGTGTGTCCTATGTCCTTCATGCATTACCACACCGTTTATCCGATTGCCGTGAAACTTTGGGAAGTTGTTTAATATACTCTGGCGAAGGTTTGTGGCATAGTACAATTGCCATAAAACTTTGGAAAGTTTTTTTAATTTTTTAATACACTCCCGCGAAGTACATTTATCCTACGATAGATGGCGCGCGTTTACACGAGCATTCGCGCACAGTGTGTTCGATCGATTTCAAATTGTGAAGACCATTTCCCCCCTTCAAAAAATATCTCTATATATGCATTTGTGAACTGTTATTTACGATATTTGTAATAATTTTTGTTTAATCACTTTATTTCAACTTTTTTTTGCTAATTATGTATTCGCTCGAACTTCGTTAAAACCTTAACTGTACCCCGAACAACAACCGAAGTTGTAGGAAGAAATTCGCGTATTTTACCGATCTAGGTATCCCCCCTTTTCCAAATTTTAATATCGACTCAAAATAATTTAAAAAGACAAATTACAATAAAACGGTTTATTATCCAACTATCAGAAATTTCACAACATGCCAAGGAAGAGAGGAAGGAGCAATTAAATAATGAAAATTATAAAGGATTTTAAAAAATATATAAAAATGAGGAATATCGCACTTCTGACAATCGCTGCGAGTGTGTGGGCTAAATTTGGAGAATCCGTGCTTCTCACATGGACAAGTGTATGTGGCCGGCTCACGCGTCGGAAAACCTTCCGATTTATTCGTGTACGCACCAGACGGAAAAACAAAAAATATCGTGTATCCACGAGCACTCCAATAAATAAATAGAATTGAAACAACACTTTGAAATATTTTCCCTATGAAAATGAATAATAATAATAATAAGTTTCAATAAAAATGATAAAATGAAAATTTAATTTTATCATTACGAGTTTGCTTGCATTTCGTTTCTTCTGAGATCGCAGCAATGCGCGACGGGTAAGCTAGTAATACTTATATTACATATATATATATATATATAGGCCTATGTGAGACTAATCGAGGGTAGGATGTTTACGAGGATGTTGCCTCTCCTACGACTCACTCGACTCAAGACCTTGAGGTCCGGTCTCGCTTGTCTAAAGGATGGGGGAAAAAAAAGGTTAGGAGAAAGGATCGTTAGATTCTTTCACCTGTCAGGATCTGACACCAATCTATCAATTTATCGCGGATAGATACGCGGTCAATTTGAGGGGAGGAATTATCACGAGCGATCTCGTCGAGGACTTCGGGTTCAGTATGGAGTGGATAATATCGGAAGAAACGCACACCAATCCAAGTTCGTTAACAAAATACCCGTTTATTAGTATACATTTTTTCATAGTTAATTCTTGGAATACAAATCCCTCTGGGGGGTTCAATCCGTGTAGTTCGTAAGTAGCGGACAAATTATAAATTAGTTGCGACCCTAACCGCGAGGTTGGAATAGTCGAATAGCGAGAGAGAGCTTACATATCATAGCGAGTAGAATAAATACCTCGAGTTAAACCGTGGATATAGTTTCTTGTTCTCCTGGGTTCGGAATATAGTCCAAAATTCAAATCAGTCAAAGTTCAAAGTCTGTTGAAGACGGTGGCGACGAGAGGCAGGTAATCCACACACACACACACACACAGTATAGAAAATAACTTTTTTCCCCCTTGTGTCGTCATCCTACTTGTCTTTTATATGGGGGCTCTCTTTTAGAGATTTCCCCATGTACGTCACATATTCGTTGACCACATGATCTTCGTTGACCAATGGTGGGCGAAGTGACAAACTTATGACACAACAGTTAACTCATCTTCTACAAGGTAGTATTGTCGTGGAAACGGATTTTTATGAGAAAATTTGTCGGTTGTTTTTCCCTTTTTGTGTTAACCCTAACTTTAAAAAAATCGGTTTGATTTTGAAACAAAACGGCAAATGAATGAACAAAAATGAATATAACTATTCGAATCTCGGCCTTCTTAAATCCTGGCCCTCACATCTATATATATACACTTAAATTATTCATAATTGGAAGTAATAATTTCAAGAATTTTATAATGTGCTGATTATTATTCTATAGAAATCCAATAATTTAAATCTGTAATTTGATCTATATTCAGTATGGAAGACGTAGTGGATGTTTATACATTATACAGTACTTCTCTCATTTCACTAAATTAAAGTATTTGTTCGATTTTCTTTCACTTTCGGTTTCATAAAGTAAAGAATGTCTCTTCTAATTTCAGGAAGAGTATGGAAAGTTAGGACAAAGTAAAATATGCCCTTTTCATTTCGAAATGTAAAAAGTCTTTTATGCATGATCGGAAATCCATAATTCAAAATTTTTTTGATTTTTCTTATGATTTTATTCCCAACTTTCTGAAATTTCCAAATAAAATCAAATAAAACATTTATAAAAATCATATCGATATTTCAAACCGATCTCCATCTAGAAAAGCAAATGCATTTCTTTCAGTGAATAAAATTTAATACTTTCACTTTGATACTTTGTTATATCTTATGGTTTTGCTACTTTTATATATAAGTAAAATAGAAAATTAAATTTCTCAGGCAGTTAATAATAATAATTCCTAAATTACTATTATTGTTTCTCATTCAGTAACGGAGAATTGATCCTCGGTAAAGACAAAGAGATCACCATTATTGCCGAAATTCAAAATTTCAACGAACCGGCTTTCATGACCGAAATGTGGATTTATTTACCCGAAAATATGGAACTGATCAACGGAGAAAACTGTAAAAGATTACAAGAAATGTCTAAAGAATTAACTTTAATCTGTCTGATTGGAAATCCTTTCGATAAGAAATCGGCAAGTCATTAAACTTTATATTAAATTATTCATTTCTGTAAAAAGTTCTAAAATTATGGCATAGATCTTCCGAATTTAATCTAATTTTAACTTCTAATAAATAAAATACGTAAATTATTTCTATGGTGCATAATTATGACTTCTTTCGTGATTCTCGTACTGGTATAATCTTCATCGTTTATGGTTCCCGTAATTATTTTGCAGGCAAGACACGAAATTAAACTGGATTCATCTAAACTATTATATTCCTTGGATAATATATCTATTGTTATGAATTTGACGACGCTGAGCGAAGAAAGTAATCTAGCCGATAATCTGGTTAATATCACGATACCTATAAAATTATCTGCAGACTTCAGTATAACCGGGTAAGTAATACAGAGAAAAAGTGATGATTATGTTATAATTATTACAATACATTTAAATATAAATGAATCCTCAGCAATTTGATTAGTAAAAATTACAAAAAGTATAAAATGATCATATTTTCATTTCCAAGAACAATAAAAAATGTTTATATTGACGAAAAATATCCATAATTGACGAAGTTCACACTTTACAACAAATATTTTCTTATAAGTCACTGCGAGAGTCGGTCTTTTATGTTCTCTGTAATCAACTTCGGCGTGTACTTCATCAACTATATAACTTTTTCTTCATTATAAACAATTTTTATTGTTTTTGTTTGAATTTTTTTTTTCTAAATTTGAGTGTTTTATCATATAGACGCCCAGAACCAGAGCTGATTTTATTGAAGAAAGACGAATCTCATCGAAATCTTTATGAATTCGTCCATATTTACAATGTAATGTCTGAAAATCTTTACAGTTCTTATCAGCATTTAGTCAATTTAAAATATCTAAACTTAGAAGTATTTTATTTATTTAGGTCATGAAACATTTGTATAGTCCCATTTCTCTTGTCACAGTAACGTTCTCAATTCCAACCACTTTCACCGATACGAAAATAAAATTTGTAAATTCCAAAAACTTAACAGTAAGTGAATGTAAATGGTTGTTTACAAAAACATTTAATACATCATAACTTTCGTTAATGATTTTATTTATATAACAGATTTTTAATCCGGATTTCGAGTTCGATTCTGTCACCTGCAATTTCACGAATGTCGAAACAGCAAATGACGACTCGGAAAGCGATGGTCTGAATTTCACAATTTCAAATATCAAGTCGAAAAGAAATAGTAATAACCTGATTTCAGTGGACAGAAGCAAGAATCTGATACTTGTGAGTTCTATTTTTAAGGATTTGTTAAAATTACAACGTCAGCTTTAATTCTGCCATTATTTATTATATTATTTAGAATTGTGTAACGTCAGTATGCGAAAACGTTGTATGTTCTGTTGGTCCCTTTGATGATAAAAAGAAAAGCTCGACTTTCTACATAAAAGGATATATAAATGCCGAAGTCCTCAGCTCAAATTTGGTGCGTATTTTATACTTTACATTCATATTAAATCAGATATAAACATTAAGAAAAATTTTTATTTTTAGAAAATAGCAAATGTAAGTTATTGAAAATAATTTAATGATTGAAATTTGATAATGCAGACATCAATTAAACTTGTAATCAGCTATATCAGTTATACTCAAAGTTGCTTTTAGTTTGTTTTGTCAAAATATTTAAAATTTGTTGCATTCGAGTGTAAATAATATGTAAGCCTATATTAACTAAATAACTGAAATATTTAATAAACAGATAGTTCTATTGTAGAGCTTTGGTGTATAAATAATGCACGTACAAGTCGACCTTCCTATAACACTGTTGATTATTTCGTTTTATATGAATTCCATGTTGTACGAGTCACTTAGATTTTACAAATACATGAGCCGTTCACAGCCCGGCACACGTATTTGTAAAATCTAAGTGACTCGTACAACATGGAATTCATACAAAACGGAATAATCAACAGTGTTATAGGGGGTCGACTGTATTCTTCTTTAAGATCTAAGATTTGAAAAAGACGTGAGTTCAACTGAAATTGTGCAGAAAAGTAAAATTTAGCTCAAAATATTAACCGACTATTAATAAATATGTTAAATGAATACAACTAAACTTTAATTAAACTATTCCTGAAATTCAGTTGAGTCACTAAGTCCTCAGTTAGAAGGGATGTGTGGCAAAAATAGTCGCTTTTACATCATTTCATATTTGATAGTACAAAAACTAAAAGTTTTTCAAAGTATACAGATCTTTTATTAAAAGTACAATATGTTGATCAATTTTTCAAAATATTTTTCTCAATAAATACCGTACAAATCTTGGATAAAGTGGGTTTTCTTACTTTATATTTCTCACTTTAATATTATTTTGATTACAATATATATGTGTAATCTTTGATTTAATTAAGATCGTTCTATTTTTAAGCTAAAAAGTTAAACGTATTATTTTCTAGAAAGAATGGGATAATATCACATTCTCTTCACAAGGAAAACTGACGATCGAAGAAGAGAGAATTATTGTTCAATCTAGAAGTCATCTACCACACGAAACTGAAGTAATCGTTAATAATATTAACTTATTTAACTCAAGATTTGAGTGTTAATGAAATTAAATTTCGTTTAGGTCTCAACGAACGTAGTACTTTCCATTACTTTAAAGAGCGCTAAGATTTCAAAATGGGTCTTGCCCGTTAGCATTGTTTGTGGGATCATCATAATCGGAATCATTGTTGCAATATTACTAAAGGTAAAAGTTTTTGTTATTGTCTTTAAACATTTAATTTTAATCTTAAATGTTTTTATTTAGATGGGATTTTTTCGAAGAAAACGAAAAGAAGCTGTTGAAACGTTAAAAGCTAACTTATTACAACAGCAATCGATAACTAACGCGGAAAATATCGATGAAAATTAATAAACGCGTGAGATCTATTATATAAAGTTTCTGAATATATAGTAACATATATACTGCTTATCTATTCGTTCTCTTTATCACTTAGGAAAGTGGAGTTGTGCTATTTAAAACTTTACATTAGAATCAAGCTTTCAAGTGATAAACTGGGTTCGATTCAACATCCTGACAGGATTATTTACTTGTTATATAACAAAGATATAATAATTTCTATATGTAGAAAGCCAAATTAATGTTTGTTTTATCGAAATTATAAAATTTTTAAAGAGTGTGATTATTTATTATTTTTTCATGATTCTTCTATTATTAAGCCATGGTAATGTACAGTACACGGTTAATCTCATTTCTCGGTAATCTTGATTTATATACAATTTTCAAACCAAGTCTAGTTAAGTATATTTATCCGATTATACATGAACAATATCTGTTATAAGATTATCTCGCATTTCTCGAACGCTAAAAGATTAAAAGTGGCGTTGGTTCATTCGAATAAACTTCATATTTTAATGATCGATTGATCATTTGAATAAATCATTCAAATATATAATTTTTTTTCTTTTTAATTAAGTTTTTCCAATTTCTTAGACGTTTAACGCTAAAATCACTTTATATTTTTAAATAGATTTGCCCTTTACTGCTCAAAATTCTGTGTGTCGACAATTATTGTAGAACACAAGGTCGTCAAATCTTTAGAAATTTCGCTTCCTTTGTTAATTTCAAGGATCTATACTTGTTCTATACAGAAAATTAAGATTAATTAGTTTATCTAAATGAATATGACTCACTCATAATATAAAACATTCAATGCTTAAAGTAGTATTTGTTTATTATTAATAAATATCTGTATTTCGGTTTGAATTAGTTCAGATCATAATCCAAATTAATTACATTTGTGGAAATCGCAGACCGAACTGAGCTGGAAGATTTGCTCGAAAGTTTTGATTGACATCTACTCGTAGGTGTGTTTAACCTTGTCGAAGTAGAAGTCGAGAGATAATTAAACTTCGTTAAAGGTTTCCGTAAACTTTTAATTTGAAGTTCTAGCGAAGCTTCTGTAAACATGTTTTCAATTTTTTCACATATTTCTGGATGTTTTTCACAAATTTCTGTTAAAAAATTGAATACTCTTTTGTTAACTTCTTTCAGTAATCTAATATTAACATCGTTAATTTGTTTGGCAGCTTTGGAATGAACATATTTTGCATTTAGGCATAGATTATTATTAATTTTATCCGATCTCTTCAATTTTTCTTTTCGTTCGAATAATATTTGTTTGGCTTTTTCCAAAATATGAGATTTTTCGGCTAAAATGTTTTGTAAAACTTCGTAGGATGTACTTAATTCTTTTATTTCTAATCTCATTGAAGCGATTTCTTTTTGAATTATATTTAATTCTTCTTTCTTTTGGTGAAGGTAAGTTTCGAATTGATTCTTTTTTGTTTCCATTTCGCGAATGTATCGAATATTATCATCTTCGGCAGGACGAAGGTATTGTCTATAAATTATATTTGTTGCTTTAATCAGAATCAAACAGTTTTTTAAACCTCTCATTTCTTCGGACATATTTCTGACTTCTTCAGTTTTTCTATAAATTAAGTTTCTTATTTCTGCCTTTTTATGTTCAGTTTGTATTAATAAATCAACTTCTTTTCCTTCTTCGTCATTCTTCAATCCTAAAGCAGCCAACACGCATTTGTATCGAGTTTGTAATGTCTCTAACTTGGCCAAAAATTTGTTTAATTGATTAACCAATGTCTGTCTTTGCTGATCGCGATGCCGAATTTCGGTTTTCAGAATATTCTTTCTATTGTTTAAATCATCCAATTGATGTTTCACATTAGCTTCAAATTCAATTTTTTCTTTTTGAATACTAATTACATCTTCTGATTTTTGATTCAGCAACTGTAGTAATTGTTTTAATTTCAGTTTCAAAATACATTCTTCTATTAACAATTCTTCGTTTACTGTAATCGACTGTTTCAATGCTGTTTCAGTCGATGAAAGACATAGATTTATCTCTTGACGTTTGCTTAAAACATTTTGTTGTTCAGATTTTGTTTGTTGAAGTTTTTTATTTAATCGAAAAATTTCTTCGCGGTTATTATTAACGTGTGTATTTAAAAATTTCAAATTATTTTCTTTTTCATCATGAATTTTCTTCAAAGTTTGCACTCGACTTTTGAGTACTGTTAATTCGTCTTGTTTTGAACTGTCTCCTTTTAAACGTTTTATTCTCTGTTCTAATTTTAAAATTTGATAATCTAATTTATGAAGTTCTTCCTGAAATTGAAATAACTTCAATTCGTCTTGTGATTTCTTCTTTTGTAAATTTTTTATATCAAACTTTGCCGTTTTCAAGTTATTGATAAGCACTTTTTCTTTTAATTTACTTTCTTCTAGTTCTTTCATAGTTTTCAGTTTAGTGGATAATAATGTACCTAAATTACTTTGTTCTTTTTTAAAGTTAATTTCCGCGTTTTGGATATCTTTTTCTAAACGTTGCAAGCACTGCTCTTCGTCAGCTTCTTTCCTTTTTATTTGCAGAAAATCGTTTTCCAACTCTTCTTTTTCTTGTCTTAAATGATCTAAATGAGCTTGTTTTTCGTTAATCTGTTTTTCTTTCTCTTTTTTCTCATTATATAATTGTGACAATTTAGAAGTCATGTTACTTGAAAGGAGTCTCTGAGCTTCTAATTCAGATTTCGAATCAGTAACTTTTTTTTGAATACATACTAATTCGTAACTAATAGATTTGAGTTCCTGTTCTAGATGTTTGAGTAATTTTTCTAACTCTTTATTATCGAGTGTACATTTATCTAAAAATTTTTTTCTATCTGTTATATCTTCTTCTACACGAAAAGCTTCTTCTTTAGAAACATTCAATTGTAAAAGTAATTCGTTAGTTTCTTCATCTTTTCTTTCAATTTTTTCTATTCCTTTATCGATCTGGTTTATCACATTGCATCTCTGACGATGTGCTTGTTTAAAATCTTCGGCTAATCGGTATAATTCCGCTTGCAGAGAAGATATTTCTAAATTTATTTCGTTAGCAAGTGTTCTCCAATTCTTTGAATCGTTACTTGCATTTTCTAATTTTATTTCCATATCCCTTATACGATTATTGTTCATAAATTTATATTTTTCTAAAATTTTAATATCTTCTTCGGTTTTTTCTGAATTCTGAATCCATTTTTCCATAGTTTCTTTATCTATTCGCAAATCATTTTGTATCTTCTCTTTCTTTTTTATTAAAGCATCGATAAAAATTCTGCAATGTTCTTGTCTTCCTTCATTGGATGTTCTTTCTTTATTAAAAATTTTCATCTGTTTATCCAACCAAGATTTTTCACGTAATAATAATTTATCTACATTTTCTCCGGTTTCTATCTCTTGCTTCCTTGATTGTAACATTTGATTCAAAGAATTTATCTCTTTTATCACATTTGTGTGATGATCCTCCAGAAGAGAATTTAACTTCTCTTTATCGTCAATTTTTGTGTTTATAACACAGATTTCTTTCCTTACTTTAGCTAATTCTTCAGCTAGTAAACGATTTTCATCATTAACAATTGGAAATATAGGAGTACCTTTCGACATGATATTTTCTAACTCCTTAGGAGTGATAAAATTATATTCAATATCCATATTGCATCTAATAGAATACGTTTTTTATTTCAAATTATAAAATCGAATCTTCGTTCTCTCGAAATTCTAATTTAACCTTTTCGTTTTTTTAAATGTATAAAATAGAATTAAATTTTTATTCCGCATCGTCATCTATCTTATTTTTTCTTAACACTTTACTATTACTTAATTTATAAGTAAGGATAATAAATAAAAAATATAAATCAATCTTTATTATTTGGTATAACGGGTGTTATTACAAAGGGGGGTTAAATAACATTGTTACTTTAAATTTGATATGTGAACAAAAAATTTATATAATGTTAATATGACGAAACTGTCGCCGAATAAAATTTGATACCGAAAATCAGATGTCAGTGTAGCAGCTCGGATAGCCGAAAGAATATTACAAGAATCAAGTGTTTTTTCATATTCATCACTGTTATTCCACAAAAAACAGGAAAAAACACTCAGCATTACACGAGACATTAATTATTTTACCGTTTAAGTTTATCGAAAATCTATTTAATCTAAATTGTGCAGCGAATGACTTTATTTTCTAACTCAAATTAGATAATAAATATAGCGCTGGAGTCCACATTCTATTAAGAAAAGTTCCAGTCCCAACCTCTTTCACTCAAATAATTATCATCTTGTGATCAGTATAAGTCTCTCAGTCTTTGATCACAATTTAGGAGGAACGAACTTTCATTTAAAAAATACATATAACTAGAGGACAGTCCAAACATTATTTATTAGTCTTTTAATTATAACAGACCGTGGCTTCAAAAAAGAATTACTATTTATCCGTGAAAGTCTTGTATATATCAATTTTCGATAATCGTCTTCCGGTAGGTCAATAAGTTTCCTCCAAAACCGAAACAAATTTATCGATAAATTAATAGCGAAGGGAGGAAAAGTCTTTCCAATTCATTCTCAGTGCAGGTTCTGAGCCACATCTATTAATACGGAACACCTGCAAATAGAACAACAGTGTTCCCTCAAATCTGTCCACTAACAGACCACCTCAAACCGGAAAAGCATAAAAAATATTTGGTCCAATCAAGGAATAAAATAATCTAAAATAATTATTTAATGAAGATGATTTAGTTTTAACAAGTAATTTGATGAGATTAGAGATTTTAGATCTTGCATCAAGTAAACCTTTATTTAAATGATACGAAAATGTATACTTAGATATTTAAAATTTGGCAATGTTTTAATTGAAAATGTCAAACATTAGTATTAAATCCAGCATAAAAATTATCCAGTTCCTTGCCTATTCTAGCACATTCATGCCTCCTAAACTAACTATATCACCCTGAGAAAAATTCTTCAGCAAATCTCACATTTTAGCTAACAGTACATCATAAAGATCTATTCTGAAATAAACAAGAATAATTACCAAGATATAATTAAGTGAACAAAAGGTTTTCTTGCAATTAAATCTAATTACTATCAGATCGTCGGAGTTAAACAATTCTGAAAAACCTAGATTATGGGAAACTGAAAGAATGAGACCGCCACAAGGACGACCAGAATCAATTGATTTTTTTTAGCAAATTGTTTGTATGAAAATAAATCTGGGTTCAATAAAGAATGGACCCGTTTATATGAGTTAGTTAACCAAGTCTCAGTGAATGCGACTAAATTACAATTTTGCAAAAAAATATAAACTCTTGGTCATTCTCTGTCAAGTCCAACGTTCCTTGACAATTCCAAAACAATATTCTCATTACTAAAGTTTTATCACTCTCTTTAGCATGTGTTCCAATTAACTCTTTTGGCTGGATTACTTTTTATATAAATATTAAAATATTTTCTAACAATATTTATTTCAAATAAAGGCAAAAAATATTTTTTTAAACAGAGCAAAGATTAAACATTATGACTTATATTCTGAAAATGTAAAAGAATAGCTATTAAATACTCACAGAAAGAAGATCATATATAAAGTTTTCAATAATAAGTAAGTCTATTACATTATTACATTAAACCGAAAACAATTTGAAGTTTAATCATATTTTAATTACTATACAAATTTGATAATACTGTATATAGATTTTTATACAATACTTAGTTTCGTTTTACAAATAAAAAACATTTACAAAAATCAAAAATTACTCGAAATACAGTATATAAAATATATCATTTTATCCCATAGTAGAATATGTATATATTTATATTCAACTCTTCTTTATAAACTATTTTCCTTCATTAATTAAATTCATCATAGAAAGAGAATTTATTAATCTCTCAATTTTTGTAAAAAATTATTTTAACAAACAAAATGCTTATTAAAAGCAACAAAGCATTAGGTCTATGTATTATTCTAAATTTATCACAGATCTTTCATTATGTTTTAGAAGCTAAATTGGAAATATTCGACTTTTTCAAGTTCATTTTCTTTTCGTTTCAATGTGGCCAATAACTGGTAATGTGTCTTAATCACAATGAAGCAAACAAGCTGTAAAGTATTAAAATAGCATTAATTTTTGTCTATTAACGTTTTTAAAACATCAAAAATCAGCAAACATAATAACAATAATTAAACTACTCATCAAAGATCCGTCTTTGATAAAGTATTTAATTTTTTAAACAAGACACGTGAACGGAAAAAACTTAGAATATAATTGCTTATCTTATTAAAATCGTATAGAAAATATTCAGAACATTATGGATTGAATTGGTTTTATGGAACAAAGTAATGCTTTCCATATAAACTTCGACAATTTTCCAAGGGAAAATTGTCTCTAGGAAGAACTTTCTAAGCAAAATTGCTCCTCTAGGTGTAAGACACGTGAAAATAACCCGAAAAACTCCATATGAAATGCTCGTTAATGAGTTGCAAACCCGCGAACAATCATCACTTTTCAGTAATTTTATCGATTCCTCCACTGATGGGTTAAAACATTATTTAAAATATGCAACAGAAACTCTGAAGTATTCAAACAAGAACTAATAAATTTACAAATAATCAATCAACATTCTAAAATTATAATTCAATGTTTTTAATAACTTGGCTATATCGTATTCAATCAATGATTATTAATTCTGAAATTATTCGAATTACATGATTCAAACGTTCTAGACACTTTGAGAAATATAATGATGCTACTTACTTTTATTCCAAAGAAACACACGATTATAGCTAATTGAATAAGATAGACCTGAAATATAGACTTGAGTTTATTCATTTAAAAATCTATATATTTTTATATTTCAAAAACTTCTTACCGGTTGCCATTTTAAAATCATGTCTATCGTAACGAAAACAGCCAGAACACAATAGCCGATAATGTCAATCAACATCCAAACCATGCATGGTATTAATGCTAAGCGTTTGTTCTAGAAAATTACAAAAATGTTTTAAAATTGAAATATATTTCATCACTACTTCTTGAAAATTATCTTTTACCTTAATCACAGCATAGATGAGAAGTAGACAAAATAAAAAGAATATTAATTCAACCGTCAAATGTACAGCAAGAATTGAATGGACCGTTACGTTTCCATTTGTAAACAACGTGGCTGGCATAAATATATAAATAAATATTTTAAATCATTATAATTAAAATTGTCCGCATATCAATAGAGGCGTACAGTACTTACTATAAATTTCTGAAGTTCCTTGTAAGCGGAGTCTAGACCATTCAAGAGAAACAAAAACTATAATAATCAGAGATATAATCTGCAAATATATACCAATATATATTATATATATATATATCTCTTATTATTATAAATAAAAATAAAGGCGATAAACATATATATTATTCTAACAATTCGATTCTGCTAACACTTTGTTCAATCACTTCTAATGGATGAAATCGCCAACATTCCGTCTTATACTGAACTACTGGATACTACTCACTCTGGTTAATACTCTGGTATGCATGTATTTTTCTCAATTAGTGTACTCTGTACGTCATAATAAAATTGTATTCTATAAATTCAGAAATATTGGCTTGAAATATTATTAATTATACTAAAAGCACAAATAAAGTTTTAAACATATTTTAACGTTTTTCTATTAATAGTTGCATGTGTTTGGGTAATAATTAGACTTCTTGAGCGCGGTACCTGCTGACATGCAACCTTTGAGTCAAACCATACCTACTTTATATGTTAAAGAAAATGCTTTTAATATGGTAGAAATAATAAACAGATCTAAAAAATAACTTTATAAGAAGCTATTTTTTATAATAAGTTTATATTTTTAATGATATTTTAACTTAATCCAAAAGGAATGGAATTTGGCATAACAAAATTTGTTCTCTTAAATTTTCCAAATTATTTTAAAATTTCTTACTCTTATAAAGTCATATACAATTTTATATTACAAATTTTTAATGTTAAACAACTAAGAAATCCATATTTCAAATTTATTATTTCTGATTCCATCAAATTCTAATCTACATTCAGAATTATACCCGGGGGAAGTTAGCCTCTTTAATCTTATGTCTAAGCTTTAAATTTCTAAGACAGAAACTTCTATTTATCGTTATTTTTTTTTACTAATATTAATATAAAGATTTGTTTGGAATCGGTCTTTTTGTGGGAATGCCATTATTAAAAACAAATTTGCAATCAATTAGCAAGTAATTTATAAATAAATTTCTTATATGAGTTCTATAATCGTTTTTTTAAACATGTCTAGGATTTTAAAGCATCATATGTAGGTATCGAGAATTCATTTAACAAAACAATTAACAGCAAATTGCCTTCTTGACTGAATTAGAAAATGAAAAGTTACGTTTATTATAGTATGTTTTTTTTAAATAATATTATTTTTTGTGACAGAAATTTTCACTAACGAGTATTTTTCTAATAATAGGCATTGTTCAAAATTAGTCTTTTGATGGAAATTTTATATAAATTATTTATTAAATAAATATGCAAAAAATAAATAACAAATTTTACACTGATATTTTATCAAATTGTGTCGTGGCTGCATTCATAAACGTCCACAACGTGTTGTGGACGAATGAATTTTTGCATTGCCATTGCCAGATCACGTTTTTTGTTGATTATTAAGAATATCGACATGTGGGCTTATTGAATTATTGAATATGCCAAAACGCGTTGTGCGCATTTTTGAAAGTATTACGACACGAAATGAGCATTGTGACTGGATCTGAGAAGTTGTGGTGGTCGATTTTTTCGCTCAATGAGCGTTTTCAGTCTTTGAGCCTAACAACCGGAAAAGTAAAAGCCAGCTCTTGGATGACTTTTCCGGCACTCTAACGGAAGACCAAGCCTTATATTGGTTGAAAAGGGGTGTTTTTATAAAAATTGTAAATGCTAATAATATTTGTCTTTAATAAGCTAAACACTCATACGAATAAATTTTCATTAAGTCTCATTCCATTCCAGATAAGACTCCTATCCTGTGTATTTCCTTCCTTTTTTGACTTATAATCTGCAAAATGTAATAGCACCAATTCCCACATGAGAGGTGTCCCTGCTAATTTTCAAAATTTTTGATCGATTGAGACATGAAAGATAAAGCAAACTACATAAAACACACTTATAAACGTCCATACATACAGAATTTTGCTCCCTTTTCCTTTGTTTTGATATGTTTAGATTTAGATAATCTGAATATGTCGAGAAATGAAAAACAGTCGGAGAGTTAAAATTTAACACATTACAATACTTTCCTCTGTTCTACATCAGCCAGGAAAGTTATAGTCACAATTGAGTATTACTGTTTAATTAAGTAAGAAAATAAATATAAAATATTTTAATATTTTATAAATTGTAAAAAGTATATTCGATAAGAAATATAGAAAAGTAAGTTCACGATTTAAATATATGAAATTTTACATAATTACTCACAGCCATAAAAATTCCTGTTGCAAACGAAGCATCTTTACTGTTATCGAAGCAGCAACAGCGATGCATTTGACAAGCCATTTTTAGCTTAAAAAATGTTGAAACTTATCTCTCTTTGAATGTAGCTAGCTACCAGCTACCAAATTAAATAGAAAAAAATTGGTCAATTCGATCAAATAATATACTTGACAGCTAAAGGATATTACAAAATATTATTATTTGCAATATCCTTTATATTATTAATATGAAATATTATTGATATATGATATAATTACGTAAGTTAGCATGGAGTTTTCCTAAATGACGCAAAACATTCAAAATATACACTGGATATACAGTAAATTTATCCTATATCAAACTGATAAATATAATAGTAATTTCCTGTTTATCTTAAATTCAGTATGCGGAATTAACTCGAAAGAATGATTATGGTTATATGTTAAAATATATAGTAAATATATAAAATATATAAAATACAGTAATATATTCATGATAATGATCTTATCACGAATATACACAAATGCACACAATTATAATATTTATCATTGATTTAAATAAGAAAATTTAATTTTGATTATTAAATATTACTATTTTATAACAATATCTGTAATATTATATGTTTTTCTACACATTAACTTTGAAAATCTTCATGAAGTTATAGACGAATAAGCCTGTATCTATTAACATTTGCCACAAAATTGAGAGTAGACAAAGCTTCTTTAATTTTAAAATATAATTATATCTCTTTATATTGCGCATAAATAAATACAGACGAGATAAATATATAATATAAAAATGATAATTCTATTTATTTCAAAATTTAGGGAAGCTTAACTAAATATTATATAATATTTTACCGCATTTTCATTCGCCGGTTAATCCACACCATTTTTTGGATTGGATTGATGAGATAAGACAAAGCAAAATATGGGCGATCTGTCAAGGGGAATGACTTTCGAGAGAATGTTCTATTAGGTGTTAAACATGTGAAGAAACAGAAATCTCCACGCGACCCTCCTGTTGGTTAGGCGCGAACCCACGAGTAATATTTAGTTTTATTCATTCGGCTATTTGTTGGCCCATTTTTCGACTCCGTCACCATTCTAATCAGTTTACTATTTATTTATTATCTGCAAGAAAACTTAATACTAAAGTGTCAGATTATTTCTCAGTTCTACATTGAGAATAATTTTTAATAAATTAATCACCCAAATTTGTTATAGATGTGTTAAATCCCGTTCTTGTATAAAAGTTAACAATTAGAAATTAAGTTTGAACTTAATTCAATTTAGAAAATTCTGGAAAAAGAAATTAACCCAAAACGGGATTTCAACACTCTCTTGGAAGCCTATTCCGAATCGTAGCCTAAAAATTATCCTGCAGTTTGAAGTTCGGGCTAACGATTTCTAATTTGGTTATACAATATACAGTGCTTGTATGCTCTTAAAGTACACGGGAGACAGTTTATGTGTAGTACCGTGTTTTCCCGAAAATAAGACCGAGTCTTATATTAATTTTTACTCCATTAGGATGCATTATGTCTTTCATTTTCAAAGGATGTCTCGTCCAAAAGCGTTCGCTTGGTTATTAACAAATACTTAATTATAATTTATATTATCATTTATTTTAAGTATCAATGTCAATAATAACATTTATTCATATTTATATATTATTATTATTTTATAATCCAATATGTCCATCATGGATTGCAACGGATGTATTAAATATGACCATCTGGCTGCCAATCTTAACTGGTGCTTTTTTAAACTCTTTCCGCCCTATGGGCACTAAGAGGGCTTCTTTTACGAAGCCCATTATGGGTTCGGCCGGGTGTTGAGGGACGGTGTCCGACATCCGGACATTACTTGTTAATATATTTAGAAAAAAATATAAATATAAGTCTATATTAGCAGACAGAAATGGCAATATTCTCTTAATTCGTATATTAAAGAATTGTTTCAATAAACATTAAATTTAGTGTCGTACATCCATTGTACCAAAGCGGAGCGGTTACTATTAATCTCATTAAACGAATATCTAAAAATCTAATCAAAGAATCTATACGATAAGAACTTTATCTCTACGAAAATTTGTAGTATAAATTACAGTTTAATCTAATATATTAGTCTTAATTTTATCCGATCTAAATAATTTTCAGAATTATAAATAAAGACACATGATATTAAGACAGGATTAAGGTTATTAAATAGGAACAGTCTGATAAAGTTAAGATTTTTTAAAGTCACAAACAGAATTAAAGACTACTTTTAATATTAACAAAGTAATTAATATTTATTTATTTATCTAGAATTTCCTCTACACTTAGCTTACATCCTGGTTATCACATTAAGTTATTATATTTCATTTTTACAATTTGAAAGTGTCTATTTTGTGAAATTTTTTTAATGTTAACAAATCTATATTTTTCAAAACTTCTTCCTCCCTGTGGGCACTAAGAGGGCCTCTTTTATGCAAGCCCATTATGGGTTCGGCCAGGCCCACAATGGGACTGTCGGGTGGAGAGGGGCGGGACCCGACATATCCGAACGGACCATCCCCGAAAAAACTCCTGGGGATTTTTCCACCCGTTTAAATTCGAGCCCGGGTCCCCTAGAGCGGTAGGCTGCCACCTTGACCGTTCGGCCATTCGGCCGCTATATATATTATTTAAATAATTTCGGATTATATCATGTAATTATATTTAAAAAGTATTATATTACAATTAAATTTTTTAAAAAATATTATAGATATCTAACTTACTAAACATTTTTTTCTTTTATTAAAGAAATGATTTAATCCCCCTTTTTTTTTTAAGGTCGGATGGCCGAGCGGTCAAGGTGGAAGCCTACCGCTCTCTGGAATCCGGACGGGCCAAAGAATCCCCAAAAACCTTTCGGGAGGTGGTCTGTTTGGATATGTCGGACCCCGTCCCTCACTGCTTTAAGAGCCCTCTTAGTGCCCACATAGCGGAAAGAGTAAAAAAATCCTTTTTTAAATTCTTTCCGTCTTGTGGACAATAAGAGGGCCTTTTTTTAGCGAGCCCATTATGGTCCCGACGTATCCGGATGGAATTCGATCCCCGATCCCCAAAACGGTAGTAGACTGTCACCTTGACCGCTCGTCCATCCGGCCGTATGATTAATTCTTTCATCTATTATTTCAAAATTAATAACTTTTTCTTCTTTCTAAGGAACTGAAAAATGAGGAGGATAAGCAAATTATCAGTTATGGTTTTCCGAAATTATAACTTAAAAAAATAAGAATACTGAGAAAAGACTTTTACGCGTAAGAGGGCGCTAATGCAAATCGTCTGCATTGACAGTAAATTCGTCTGTGCAGAATGCCCGGTAGGTTTCAATAAAGTTTTGCAAAAGTAAATATAAATCGTTAATCTCGATATAAATTGAAATTTTCATTTATCCATCTAACAAATAACATTTCAATATTTAATTTTGTACTTAATTTTTTAGTAAAATTATTATTATTTTCATTTTTAAAGTTTTAATCAAATATTCACTTAATTAATATGCAAGAAAAATTCCAGGTTTTCTTTAATTTACAATGATTTATTTTATTATATAAAATCATTTCTCTTCAAAACCTTCATAAGACTGTTACAATTAACAAAAAGAAATCAGATTCGTGCAATTTAGTAAAATACATTAACAGAATTTGTTCAGAGATTTAATTCATATAATTTGTAGAAATTGAATTTTAAAAAAGAAGAAAATACTAAATACAAAAGTATAGAGAACATTTTTTTTTTACAATCAAGTCCTTAAAGAAAGAAAAACTCAAATTTCCATTAGCGAGGTTGTGGCCGAAGTTTTCATCTCTAAAATGTGAATGTTGAGCACCGCTTACAAATAGCAGCATTCGACATTTGATGTTTACGTTTACGTAGAGTTGAAAACTTCAGCCACAACCTCACTATTAAGAAAAAATGTCAGATAAAGATTAAACTGACAATTCTTTCTTAATGGAAATTCTTAGGAATCTATTCTGAATCATTTTCCATTGTATTTTTGTAATAGCTTCTATCAGTTTTTATTATATTTCAGGAAAGTTTATGATATAGGTTTACTGTTTTTATGTATGAGCGGAGTTGTACTGATAGAGGAGACGGAGAGGCGACTCTCTCGGGCGTCAAATTGGAGGGGATATTAAAAAGCATTGCAAAGTTTATAGAAATATAAGTACATTGGTGCCGTTTTTAGGCAAAGTTATTTGAAGCGATCCTGTGTATGGGTATTGTTATGAACTTTTTTTGAGTGTTATGTATTATCTGTGTTGCCCAGATTTATTTAAACTACTTTTGATACATTTGTGTAAAAACTGATCAATTAATAACTTACTTTTTATTTTTCCTTAATGTAATGCAATAATAATAAAACTTTTGTTATTGTAATGCGTTAACAGTATCTGTCTGACAAAAAATTAATATTATGATAAAATATTTACTGGATTTAAGTAATTATGCTTATTATTATTTTTAAAAAATTCAAAAAAAATGACACCTGTATATAGGAGTACTTCAATAGATAGGCAGTGACATAAATGCTTTAAGTAAAACCTTCAAATAGTTAAAAGTCCCTTATTTGACATATTGTGTGTGAACTTGTATTTGTGCCTTCAATCAGCTGAAATTTTTATCAATGATAAATTAGTCAATTAAGATGAAAATTTGTTTTATTGATGTACTTTTTTTTTCTGCTATTTTCATATTTCACTGTGTTGATGATTTCATACAATACATAATCTGATATAAACATCTTAACAACACCAGATATGTTGCAATAACACACCTTCAATTTGCTGTATTTTCTTCCAGTTTAATCTAAAATTATTTAATTAAATTTTTAATTATTAAATTTATTACGAGATGGCACCTAACATCTCCCTTTAGGGAAAATTCATTAGTAATTTATAATTATTATTATACATAATCTGAACCATTAAAATATTTTGAAACAAAAATAAATTTGGCACAATATTTTATAAGAATACAACTGCACAAGTACCATTCTCATGCTTGCTTCAGGCAGTTGCAATACTTTGCAAATTTTATGTGAAAGAAATTAATTTATTCATTTCTTCATTTAAGTCTAAAGGCAATTCATTGTATATCAACTTTTAGATTAGAAATTTTTTCTTCATTAAATGAATAATTAAATGAAAAGATAAGATTTGGGATGGTCTTGTCTTAGCTGATGTAATTAAAGTCATAGTTTTTTTCCTAAAAATTTAACAAGTTATTGAATTGTATGGTAAATTTGCTTTTTATACATCATCAATAATTTATAACTTTTATTCTTCACTTTGCTAGAATGTGTGTTAATTTTGTGTTTTGCAAATACAGTAATACCTTGGTTTTCATTTACTTCAGTTTTTGTCGATTTTTTTGCGAAAAAATCCTGTGACTTCCTGATAATTTTGGGAATACATAGGGCAACGTATGCATTTTCCTGCTGAGTGTGGTGTTGTTTCTCATTGTGTGAGCATTACCCTGCACATCTAGTCAAACAATACCATTGCTTTCTTTTCCTTTTAGCTCCATCATGGGATTAAAGCCAGAGCCCAGAGCCAGCCGGGCACCAGTGACCAAGCGTTCCATTCCCTGAACACTGGGAGTTTGGTCGTGGGTTCATGCCTCAGGAAGGGCTGGCCATGTGGAGTTTGCTGGGTTTTCTCCAAGTCTGTAATGCCTGAAGGGGCCAGCTACTCTTAACCTTTGTAGAGAGGGTTAGTCAGATACAGCACTATCACAATGTAGTGGAGAATAAACGTGGAAAATTTTTAAAGAATTTTCCCAGGCGTTTTTCTTGTTTCCATTTGGAAAAAGTTTTTTTAAACAGTTACATCTAGTGAAGAAAAAATATTTTTATTGTCACATAATTCCTTTTATGTGAATTTTTTTCACGGAAATTTTTGCCTAAAAGTTTTTTGTGGATATCAATGTCGTTCTCCAATGCCATGTGATCACCCTTGATGGGTATATCCGTTGATCACTGCAGAGTGGTTAAAAGACCTCCTGGAAAGCCCAAGTGTTGTGTTGCCATAACTTAACAAACAGAGCCAACATTCTTTCAAATGTTATGTTAAATGTTCATTTACTCTTTACATTAATATAAAATGAATATAAAAGACTAATTTCTTATTGTTTTGATTATTAAACACAATATTTATTCTTTATAAAATGTGTTTTTGGTATTATTTTGGAGTGTCTAGAATGAGTTAATTGGATTTATATTAATTCATATGGAAATAATTGCCTTGGTTTTCGGATTTTGCCGATTGTTTTCAGACCAATTATCGATGAAAACTGAGATATCACTGTACTTAAATCAGTGCATTTTTTCTATAAACAAATTTATCTAATATTAATTTAATATTTATCCAGCTTACATCTTATATATTTATTTTACAAAATGTCTGCAGTTTTAGGTGCGATTCCAATCTGTTATAAAAACCAATTTATTGTAATACATCATATTTTTTATAGCCAAAAAATATAATTAGTTTGTTGATTGGCTATTAATGATTACATTAATCTATAAATTAAAACTGTTATTGTTTGTAATAATTAAGACTTGGAAGAGAGTCTAGTTTAGTTTATATTAGTTAATTTAATAACAATATAATAACAGTTAATTTATTGAGATTTTAAAATTTAGAATTGTTTTTGATTTTGCAGATATAGTAGAAAGGCTGGATAATGGAAATGTCATTAGAATGCAAGAAGGAATTGGAATTTGCTTATACATAAATTAATATAATTAATAAATGTAAGAGGTATCTCTGATTAGATCTAATGTTAATATTTTTTTAAACTAGTTTTTCAATTTTTAAACTAACTACAATATTTGAATAGTAAAATCCAAAAATTTTTAAACGTGATATAAATAAAAAAAATAAAACAATTATTAGTTCTATGTACATATAATAATAATAATAATAGTAATAATAATAAACACAGTTTACACTGTCACATCTCATGTACATGGACAACATAAAACTTTATGCATCCACACAGAAACAACTACATCAACTCCTACAAATCACACATTCATGCACCAAAGACATACAAATGGAGTTTGGCTTAGACAAATGCAAAAAACTTCACATAGAAAAAGGAATCCTGAAGAAAGAAGATTTTGCACTTGGAAATGGAGACATTATTGAATCCATGGAAGAGGGCGAGTTCTACGAGTATTTAAGATTCCAACAGGCCAAACTAACAGAACATACACAAATAAAGCAAAGATTAATTAAAGAATACCAAAGTAGGTTAAATACCATTATCAAAACACAGTTAAATGCAAAACACACANTGTTTGATTTTATATATTTACAGTTTATATGTATATAATTTTTTTAGTTAATATACACCATATTAATGTGTCACTTGGAAGATGCATTACTGATAATGATAATTTTTAATGATCATTTAAATTTTAGTTTTCAAACATTTATGTTTATAAATCAAATTTATTGTTCTGTTAGATTTCCTCTATTTATTTGATAATTTAGATTGAGTTGTCCCAATTAATTTTTTTTTTTATATTATCTTGAAATTCATTCCAACAGAAGGAAGTAATTGAATCATTTTCTCTATTGTAAAGAAACTTTAAAAATGTTAGAGAAGAAACTAGAATAGAAATAAAGCCATGCAATACATATCAACAAAAAAATTATCTTATAAATCTGTTATGTAGTATTGCAATTAATTTTGCTATTCTTATAATTATTTAAATACCAGTTTCATTACTTGCTTAAAATATGAAATCTTTAATATTAACATTTATTTGTATGTATAAATAATTGTTAACTCTAAGTTTTAAAATTAAATTTCATTCTTTATTAACAAATAATCATAATAATAACTAAAAGTTATTTCAATTAATTTCCAAAGTTTTATTATTCTTAATATATCCTTTCAGAGATGTAAATGCAGTAATGTGCATATTAATTTAGATTTGCATTTTCCAAATTAATTTAAGAACTATATTTTCTTGTGACTTACTTTTTATATACACTAACAAATCTTTTTATACTTTTAGGATTGAATATTTCTTTTATCAAAATACAGAATAAGTTGATAGTAATGCATGGGCAAATCATCATATTCTTCTTGATTTTATTAATTACTGTTTACCTTCTAAATGTTCTAAATTTTCTTCTCCATTTACATAACCATCATCAGCAGCATCAACAGCATCAGCAACAGCAACAGCAATTCCAGTAATAGTTTTAGGAAGGACTAGAGAGACATTCTGCTGAAAATGTTTACACTAAAGAAAATGAAGAAATCTTTCCTGAAAAATAATAATAATGATGATTTTCCTCTTAATTTTATGTAAATATTTGGCTTATCTATTTTTTTATTTCTTGAATGAATCAGTAATTTTAATGAAAACTTTTCATTATTTTAAAAAGTATTTAAAGTTACCAGTTGAAGATCAAAATATATATAAAATCAGACTTTATTACCATCATATAAGTTTAGTATTGAAAAACATTTTCAATGTAATTTAGACCATCTTCAAGACTCATATTAGATCAGAATATAAAAGTGCTGTATATATTCTTGATCAGCTAGACCAAAAATGCTTGCCAATATTAAACTATATGCTTGTAAGATGTTGATTTTATAGATATTTAATTTTTTTAAAGTCTTCATTCTAAATGCTGCTATATGTTTCTGTAAAAAGTGGTTGCATACTTTGCACATTTAGTTGAATAAATCTGAATATGTCAGATAATTAATGAAGCTGGAAGGATTAAGAAAATAATTATTTCATAATATCAGAATAGAACCAAAGATATTCAGATATTTATAAGATTTTAGTATTAATTATATAATAATAACAAAAATAGTTCTCAAATATAATAATAAGCATAAGCAATATTGAAAAATTGTTAGTATATATGTAAATTAGAAGTCATGTACTGTAAATAATATCTAGAACTTTTGCCACAAAAGATTCCAGGAAAAATTCCAGGAACTAATCAAATATTTTATATATTAAGCATCCACTGAAATTTGTTACAACTTTATTTAAATTTCCATGTAAAAGAAATATTAATTTAAATGAGTGATATACTATTTGAAAGAACAAAACAGCTGTTTTAATATAAATTATTTACAAAGTTTCAATTATATCCTCACAGCACATTACTCAATCCTTGTCTTGACCAAGAGCACTAAGCATTATGTATGATCCAAATCTTTCTTCAGACAATAATGGCTCCTAGTGATTAGTTGCTTGACTTTTTTAGCTCTCCAGCTTTTTTCTTACATCAGTGACTTGAGATGAGCCCAAAAATTTTTGATGGGCACACCTTAAGAACATTAATTTGATTGTCATCTTTGATTACAAAGTCAATGTTTTCTGCCTCCAGGGCTTCAAGAACTTTCACCTTAACAAATTTGTTGATCTGCATTAATTTTATTATATAGTATTTTATGTCATGTGCCATAGGAGATTGTATGCAAAGTATTGGAGGGCAAATATGTAGTGTACTGATTATATAGTATGATGCATCATTTCTGGTCTGTAGTACTGTCAAATGGAAATTCAATGCACAAAATTCATATGCTTGGCTGATTCACTTTCACTGGAACTTTGCAAGTATACACAATATACTTGCATAGTTATGTAACTAACAAGTGTATTGTGAGGATTGAGCTTGTTTTTTAATACTCAATATTCTACAAAATTTTCTTTTCTTTTTTATAACAATGATTGGCATAATACAAAATCTCACATGAATACAGAAGAAAGTTGTGGTTGCCAACTTTTAGGGGAATCTATTAACTCTGCACCAGGAATTGTCTAAGGTCTTTTCCATATGTGGGTGGTGGTCATGGAGACAAAACTGACTCATGCCTTTACAATCAACCCATTTATTAAGACAAAAGGGTGCTTACAGAATTTACAGAAAGATTCCTTTTGGGCAATGGTGTAAATAGTCCAAGCATATGTCGTCCAGTTTAAGGATCTTTTCTGGGGGACGGTGAAGACAGATGACAACAGTCCCAAGCAGTATTATAGTGATGTTAGGCAGGTGGTTTGCTGAACTTCCAAGTTGATGGTTAGGGAGGATGGCAAAGTAGGAGAGGAAATTTAGTGATTTCGATTTCACTTAGACAGACACAGCAACACAAGGTCCAGGTAACTTACACAATCTGGAGGATGTGTGTCCCCGACCTTGAAATTTGGGATTTTTAGTTTTTTCTCTCCCAATCTCCCTTTCCCATTGGTCCAACGTTCCTTGTCTTGCTTCCCGATTGGTCTCTCCCCTGTCTCCAGGTGAAAACTGAGATCAGTTCAGGTCACAAAAAAGGCCGTTTCGGCAAGTCTACCCAACACCTTTGACTCTTACCAGGAGATGTTGATGAGCTCATATTTAACCTGTATTTCCTTTCTCTTGACACCTCAGAATTCTAATGATCTGACATATCCTCTGGCAGCCAATTCCTTTTCTTCTTCTCCATTTTACTTTACTTCAATCTATTGTTCAAAAGCTCTAGTGCCAAAGTTCTTTCTCTCTGGTTTGACACTATTCTAATTCCTAACACATATAGGAGTCACATATGGAACACTTGTTTACCATTGCGTTGCATTTGTTTTCATAACAGAACATTTCTCTTACATAAGTTTCATTTTAGTTTTCCTTTTGCTTTAGAAATTCTAAAATTTTACATGATTAATACAAATTTTGGAAATTTGGAACCAGCAGTTGGAACCTCACAGAAATGTTGATGATATTTAAATAAGATTGTAAAAGAAAACAGACAAACTAATCAGTTGTTTTAGACATTTTAATTTTCTTTTGTTTCCTTCCATTTCTAAAGGATTCAATGCAAAAATAAACTGAAATTTGTATTACTCCACTTGCACAAGATTTATTGTGTTACATTTTTTTTGTTTGATTTTATATATTTACAGTTTATATGTATATAATTTTTTTAGTTAATATACACCATATTAATGTGTCACTTGAAAGATGCATTACTGATAATGATAATTTTTAATGATCATTTAAATTTTAGTTTTCAAACATTTATGTTTATAAATCAAATTTATTGTTCTGTTAGATTTCCTCTATTTATTTGATAATTTAGATTGAGTTGTCCCAATTAATTTTTTTTTTTATATTATCTTGAAATTCATTCCAACAGAAGGAAGTAATTGAATCATTTTCTCTATTGTAAAGAAACTTTAAAAATGTTAGAGAAGAAACTAGAATAGAAATAAAGCCATGCAATACATATCAACAAAAAAATTATCTTATAAATCTGTTATGTAGTATTGCAATTAATTTTGCTATTCTTATAATTATTTAAATACCAGTTTCATTACTTGCTTAAAATATGAAATCTTTAATATTAACATTTATTTGTATGTATAAATAATTGTTAACTCTAAGTTTTAAAATTAAATTTCATTCTTTATTAACAAATAATCATAATAATAACTAAAAGTTATTTCAATTAATTTCCAAAGTTTTATTATTCTTAATATATCCTTTCAGAGATGTAAATGCAGTAATGTGCATATTAATTTAGATNATTTTGTACTTAATTTTTTAGTAAAATTATTATTATTTTCATTTTTAAAGTTTTAATCAAATATTCACTTAATTAATATGCAAGAAAAATTCCAGGTTTTCTTTAATTTACAATGATTTATTTTATTATATAAAATCATTTCTCTTCAAAACCTTCATAAGACTGTTACAATTAACAAAAAGAAATCAGATTCGTGCAATTTAGTAAAATACATTAACAGAATTTGTTCAGAGATTTAATTCATATAATTTGTAGAAATTGAATTTTAAAAAAGAAGAAAATACTAAATACAAAAGTATAGAGAACATTTTTTTTTTACAATCAAGTCCTTAAAGAAAGAAAAACTCAAATTTCCATTAGCGAGGTTGTGGCCGAAGTTTTCATCTCTAAAATGTGAATGTTGAGCACCGCTTACAAAATAGCAGCATTCGACATTTGATGTTTACGTTTACGTAGAGTTGAAAACTTCAGCCACAACCTCACTATTAAGAAAAAATGTCAGATAAAGATTAAACTGACAATTCTTTCTTAATGGAAATTCTTAGGAATCTATTCTGAATCATTTTCCATTGTATTTTTGTAATAGCTTCTATCAGTTTTTATTATATTTCAGGAAAGTTTATGATATAGGTTTACTGTTTTTATGTATGAGCGGAGTTGTACTGATAGAGGAGACGGAGAGGCGACTCTCTCGGGCGTCAAATTGGAGGGGATATTAAAAAGCATTGCAAAGTTTATAGAAATATAAGTACATTGGTGCCGTTTTTAGGCAAAGTTATTTGAAGCGATCCTGTGTATGGGTATTGTTATGAATTTTTTTTGAGTGTTATGTATTATCTGTGTTGCCCAGATTTATTTAAACTACTTTTGATACATTTGTGTAAAAACTGATCAATTAATAACTTACTTTTTATTTTTCCTTAATGTAATGCAATAATAATAAAACTTTTGTTATTGTAATGCGTTAACAGTATCTGTCTGACAAAAAATTAATATTATGATAAAATATTTACTGGATTTAAGTAATTATGCTTATTATTATTTTTAAAAAATTCAAAAAAAATGACACCTGTATATAGGAGTACTTCAATAGATAGGCAGTGACATAAATGCTTTAAGTAAAACCTTCAANAAAGTAGGAATAACTATAATTTATTAATTAAAAACAAAGATTGTAAAATTTACTCATAGAAAATTTTTTCTGCATTTTTAAAGTAATCCAGTTTGTATGTATATTTCTCTGGTAACATTCCAAAAAGTTTAATACTATTGAAAATGTTTACAATTACATTTGCACTCTCACTGATCTAAACCTACATTAATCACAATGAAGTTTGTTCCTGTTCTTGCCATAAGCAAAAGTAATAGCAGATTATTTTTTAAAAACATGATGAATTTGTAATATTAATATGTACTATACATTTTAATATAAAATGTGTGCCAAATATGATATAAAAACTTTTAAATATATATTATGTATTAAGTACAGCAATAACCTCTTGGAACTTATTAAAGTTTGTTAAAAATTTCAGGAAGGAATAGAATTATTATTATTTAAATGATTAAAACATTATCTGTAGTCCTTTTGTTTCCATTTCTTCATTGTTCAGATTATCCAGGGTACACTGTATTATAAAATGGAATAGTATTAATTGTTTGTCAACATTTTAAAATGTTTGAGATGTAGTTCTAAAAATAAATATTTCTAAAATATGAATGAAATTTTGAAATTTTTAATTTANTTATTATTATTTTTAAAAAATTCAAAAAAAATGACACCTGTATATAGGAGTACTTCAATAGATAGGCAGTGACATAAATGCTTTAAGTAAAACCTTCAAATAGTTAAAAGTCCCTTATTTGACATATTGTGTGTGAACTTGTATTTGTGCCTTCAATCAGCTGAAATTTTTATCAATGATAAATTAGTCAATTAAGATGAAAATTTGTTTTATTGATGTACTTTTTTTTTCTGCTATTTTCATATTTCACTGTGTTGATGATTTCATACAATACATAATCTGATATAAACATCTTAACAACACCAGATATGTTGCAATAACACACCTTCAATTTGCTGTATTTTCTTCCAGTTTAATCTAAAATTATTTAATTAAATTTTTAATTATTAAATTTATTACGAGATGGCACCTAACATCTCCCTTTAGGGAAAATTCATTAGTAATTTATAATTATTATTATACATAATCTGAACCATTAAAATATTTTGAAACAAAAATAAATTTGGCACAATATTTTATAAGAA